GGGAAAGAACCACAGTAAAAAGTTAAGAAATTTCTACGCTGGCAGTCAACAACCTACATCCATCAGGATCCCAGAAGTCCTCGAGGCAGCTGGCCAGGCAGCCCCCAGCTCAGGATCCAGTGACAGCGACACAGGCAGGCAGGTCAGGCTCAGACTTAGCAACTCACCACCAACTCAACTAAATATTACAAGTGGCAGTGGACGAGGTGGGTGCATCACTGCAGCAGTTTCCCCTCTGCTGATAGAGGTCATTTCCCTGTGAGGAGGTAGTAGGAAAATGTAGAGTTCCTCTGCTTGACTTGAACAGTGGAAACTCACATGCTCCTCTCAACACTCAACAATCTACTGTCTCTACACATTCCAGTTACACCTTAAGATATAGATACGTCCTCCCTGGAGGAGGATTTTATGATTTCTTGTTGTTATACAAGCAAATTCTTCTTTCTCCTTATGGGCCTAAATATTTCTTTCTTCTCTTTCTTACTGTTTACTCATTTCACCACAAACACCATGCCATGTGTGCAGGCACTGTATAAGGGGGTGACGCGGGTCATCTTGGCCACAGAGAACGACTACTGTAAACTGTGTGATGCCTCATTCAGTTCGCCGGCAGTTGCGCAGGCCCACTACCAGGGCAAAAACCACGCCAAGAAACTACGGCTTGCTGAGGCCCAACACAACTCCAATAACATGTAGGTTTGGGTAAATAAAAAATAAAAAAACATTTTGCTGCTGTAGGCCTCCTCCTCATATTGGCTTGTACAGACTTAGCATATGTTTTGCAAATGTCCTCACAGCCTTGAGCTGATGCCACAATGGAGGTCCACTGTAGAAAATATAGGTATCATAATAGAAAAGTCTTATTTTGGCTTTAGCATTGTTCATTAATGCAGTAAATTTAAAACTTAATTCAATAAAACATACAGTATTTATACATACAGATATAAGTGACTCAAGAATCTATCAGGTCTTTGATTTTATTAACTTAATCGTGTTGAATTTAAGTTGCAGTCTGTGAAAAATCCCCTAAACATTCAGTTAGTTTGAGTTAAGCATAAACTTTATTGCGAAGTATTCAAAAATACAAGGAGTTTGACTCCAGCTCAATGGCCCCCGATGTGCACAACATAAAAACCAAATAAATAACAGAATAAATAAATACAAAAATATATATACAAGTTAAAAAGTACAAGTTAACTAACCAACTACATTACTGATATTATATTAGATAATAATACCTGTCTGTTTTATTCACCCTTTGGGCCAAACTGAAGTGTTTTGCCACTGCCCATTACAGGGACAGCAGCAATGAGGCACCCCCAAGAAGAAACAGGAAGGATGGCAGCGAGTACAGACTGGTGAAAAACCGCCGCAGCCCACAGCTACCAGCTTCTATGCCAGGTAAAATATATAAGTATATTTTTTAATTTATTACACCAATAAACAACTCCTTAATTAAGACAATAGCAATAGCATTTTTGTAGCTGTTGTGGCAAAGTTAAGTTACTTCCAGTCAGTGCCAGTCTTCAAACTGGCAAAACAAGTTTATTTAACAAATTATTCAGCAAGTTAAACAGTTGTTCAGCCAGTTAATCAGGGGTTGTGTGTTACTGTTTTGTGTTCTGTGACATAGTAGCAGATTGATAACCCAAAATAAAGAAATGTATAGTATGTGCCTATCAATTTCCTCTGATGATGTGGAAACAAACACAAAGCTGCACCAATGTTTAATCCGACTTACGCTAAAGTTTAACAGATAACTGACAGATTTTTGTAGAAGCAGATTCTTGGCTGAAAACGTCTTTTGACTTTACCACCTTTTCTCTCTATCTGTGTGTGTGTGTGAAAACAGATAGAGACAATAACATCAGACTTTCTGTTTACATCAAATATCTATCTACAGCAGAGCAAAATCCCTTCCTCTCTCTTTTACACACACAAACACACCGCAATGTTTTGCTGATTTAATCCGTTCACTTGATGGACAAACCATAAAATAGCTGCACTCTCCTGCAGTTGCCTTCTTGCTGTCTTTATTTATTGTTCTCCCTATTGCTTTCTGACTCACACACACACACAGACAAGCAGTACTCTTTTACCACAAATCAACCTAGTTGTAATCCCAGACAACTCTGTGATTTATTTTTAAGGATTACTGTGTATTTTTATTATAAATGTCACACTATGTAAAAAACATTTTGCAGAATTTTCCTGTTTATTTTACAGATTTTGCCTGTATTAAATGGAAATTGTAGTAAAATTACAAAAACATATTGTGAAATTACATTCCAAAATTAAAATAATAGGAAAACCTGTATCTGTAAATTATCATAAAGTTCTCATTTAAAATTAAAAGGAAGAAACTGTATTGAACATTATGTGAAATTACTGTATTTTTAGAAGATGGTTATTTTCCATAACTTTCTGGTGCCCCAGCTGCCAGAATATTATAGTTTAAAAAAAAAACATGTATTTATTTACAGTGCAGTAATATATCAGGAAATAATTAAATGTGACTACAGGTATGTCCACAGTCTGGAATTTGATGCTTAAAGTATGCTTAAAGTGATCAAATAATTTAGCTGTATAGGTAATTTATCAAATAACAAGACTTAGTAAGTCAAGCTAGTAGGTCTGTGAAGCTGTATGCAGACAGCAATATTCTGAAGGATGTTAGCATGCTAACTAGCTGTGTATACTATTTAGCACTAAACATAACATATAAGTGAAGTTGATAGGAATGTCATTTACAGGTATTTGGTCATAAATTACTACAATTTTGGTGGTAGTACCAGAGGGAAGGTCAAGGGAGCACCAGAGTTAATCCTGAGGAGGAGATTAGTACCAAATTACATGGAGATTAGTACCAAGTTACATGGCAGTCTATCTAATAACTTTCTCTTCCATTTTTATTTTTAGCAGGAAATAGCAGTAGTGAAATGAAAAACGGACAGACTGAGATTTCCATCCACAGAGTCAGAGTCATTCTATCAGTGTGGCTGCAAATGAGCTACCAGAAGTTTGCTGCTCCTTACAGCTGTCACGATAGATAAATCTGGTGTGAATCAGCCTCTTAATGTGTAGCTAGCCACTATTCACTTCTTCTTTCCTGTCCATCATCCTTGTTTTCTCTCCAGGCCCATACTACAACCCCAGACCGAGGCAGCGCATCCCTAGAGACTTAGCCATGTGCGTGACTCCCAGCGGACAGTTCTACTGCTCCATGTGCAACTGCGGAGCTGAGCAGGAGACAGACTTCAGGCAGCATCTGGAGAGCAAGCAACACAAAGCTAAAATGTCAGAGTTAAGATACCGCCACGAGATGGAGAACCTTGGCTACAGCTAAGAGACACAAGAGGGGAGGGGGGGAAGAGTGGGACAGAATAGGTGGAGACACAGTCTAAGACCAGAGTGCAGGAAAGCAAATACTAGTAAATAATTTAGTGAAGGGATCGGCCCAAATGGCCTCCAGATCTTCTTGCAGTTCATTTGATAAATGGATCAAACACTCAAATCCACATATTTGAAGTAATGCTCTGCTCTATGAAGCTCAGTGGATATGATGGATTTACAGTATTTGGCCTTGGGTAGTATGCTTTTCTAAAATCTAGTCTTTAGAGGCAAAGCGGCCTGCAATGTGAAAATGGAGAACAGGAACAAAGCATCTAAGAAAATAGTGGATTTTTGGTTAACTTTCCTCCAAGGCTTTGAGTGGGTTGCATTCTGACTTAGGAAACAGCAAATGAATTGCAAAGAAATCTTGCAGGCTACAAGGAGAGGACTAGTGGTTCACATGGAGCCAACAGGACAGGAGAGGAGGTACAACAGCAAGCATGCGCAGAGGGTTAACACATTAAGAGAGGATGAAAATGTTAAAAAAAGAAAGGAGGTAATGGTGGAAGTAAAAGGAAGGATGTAACAACAGAAGCAAAGACTTTAGGTCAAAACAAGTCTCTCCTTTGAAAAAAATACTGAGAACAAAGTTTTAGTTTAAAACTTGTTTTTCCATTGTGTGCATGTGAAGCAGCCCTACAGGTATTTTTGCAGGCCCTTTAGCAGGCAGGGACTTCAGGGCCTTTTCTAACCACAGAGCCACATGGGGTAAAAAGAGTAAATTCAACATCTTTATAATGTACTACAGGTAAAAGAAATCCAAAGCACTATTTACCAACTTAAAAAAAACAAAGCACAATGAACATCATCTGGTAGAAATAGAGTTACATGCATCTGTCAGCCTTAGCTGACATCTTACCGGTCCTTTGGTGTGCACCAGGATAAAGGCTAAGCCATGGCTAGCCTAGTTTGTGCCTTTAGTGGGAATAAAGCTAAAGAGGAAGCTTTAGCCAGCCATTTGGAAGTTGTGGAAACAAATCTCCAGTACTAATTGGGTTTTTTCTTTATTCTGTGTAATATCTGTTCGTTTAATAAATCCACACAAATGTGATGTAAATATTCTCAAATTCTATTATACATGTACATATAGTATAATATACATGAATATTATTCATTGTTTGGCTAATGTTACCCTAGCATATATTGTAAATACTTATAATCTATTTAATAATTATCAGGAATCTTGTACAAAGTGTGCACTAACTGAATACCTATCATCACTGTATGGTTGCGCGTGGATTTCACAGTAAGACCACCATACCATGTTGGATGGTGCTTTTGTTCACTGGTAGAATAACTTAGGTGCCATCCATCAGGAGTTAAGATCTCTTTTGACTGTGCAGGAGGACCATATCAGGAGAGGTTGTGTCTGAAGCTGAAACTTCTTTCACAAGCTGAATCTTTGTGAGAAAGATGCGTGAAAACATGACGGGTATACACGTGGGCTGAAAGAATATGTCTAAACTTCTAATTAGCTTTAAATTGCAAATTAACATGTTCAGGACTTGTGGATGTTTCTGGTTACGAGACATGTCATTGACTTTTCCCAGTCTATCTGGATTCCCAGAGGGGACGTAACCAGGTTTTATTGCAGCGTGAAATGATTGTAGAGGAGTGACATGGATTTTATCTGGATTTGCAGAGAGATGTGTTTTTATTTTATTTTTACCCCAAATGACGCAGGTCCAGGTATTTTTCAGTATTTAGCCTATCCTAAACACATCAGTTATGTAATTGGAATGCTGCTGATTTGTTGTTTCTGGTTATATGATTTGTGGTTCTGGTTCTGTGGTGCTGAGCTGAAGACAGTGCAGTCACAAGGCATCTGAGTTTTACGGTCATAATTTAAATGGTGAAAAAGTGCATACTGTGCCTTTAATGTTGACTGTGATCACTATTGCATTTGAAAATAATGACAGGGTCAAAAAATCTTCAAATCTTGTGTTTGTGTTTCAAACACAAAAAATATTTCTTTTAAATAATTATTTGCAGACTGATGATTCTTTAGTCCTTTTGTTGGAAAAATATTCTTTTTGCCTGAAAATGTCATTTTATGTGGCAGTTAAAAGGGTTTTCCATCTAGATTTTCAGATGCCAACATGCTTCACCTCTACAGTACATGATTAGAGTAGATCTGTCCTTCAAAAGAGGACTTTCACTTTAAATCTACTTTTTCCAACCCTTTTCTGCAGTGTACAACCACATGCATACACTCCCACATAATTTAGTAAAAGGCTTGATTGAGTCACATAATTAGATGTGTTGTAAAGTGAAAGTAGCATCTTGCATTTCTCTCTGGTTAGTTTAGCTGGCTGTGGGGAGAGGCAGCTGTTCACATCATACATTTGTCTCTAGAGCACAAACACACACCTGATCACACATGAGGACAGTCATGAGAACACCACTGTGAAGACAACGTACTGTGGTTTAAACCTGAGAGAGAGGGAGAGGCAGAGAGGAAGAAGCAAATAAGATGCTAGGCTGTGCTGTTAGCCCACTGTGCAGCACAGAACAAAGAGGAGCTGATGAACACAGAGCGGTAACCAAAGCTGTGGGTAAGACACAGCTAGTCGAGGAGTTCTTCACATTAGACAGAGTTGCAGTCTGTTAATAGCACTCCTCCTCCTCCTCCTCCTAGAAATAACATGCTTTGTCTTTCATGAAAGCGCTAGTAGCATAACTGTTTATTATGTTGACAGGTTTCTGGGTTTATAACAAAGTTCGTACTCCAGTGCAGCTACTGAACACTTTAAGTGCATGAACTAATAAACTGCAAAGGGATGGAGGAAATGAGGTTGCAGGAAGCTAAAAACTCTACAAGCCTAAAGAGGAAATCATTACATTATATTTGGACCCTCTACAGAAGCTGTTTCCAAAATTATGACCCCCTTAAAATGTGACAGTATCTCCTCACAAGTTATGGCCTTAGTGATGAGCAGCTCAACCAAAGACTGATACTTCCTTGTCAGATTCATTTGAACAAGGCTGGATTACCAGCCAGGGTGAACTGACTACTGCCATGGGGTCCATCAATCTCTCTGCCACAGAGCAATTAAGACTGGGATGGATTCCCAACCAGGCAATGTGGGCAACAGCCACTGGGCTCCAGAGCAGCAGAGAGGCTCCCTGAGTCACAGGTCTTGTAGAGGCTTCCTGTGTCAAAACCTAGTTTTAAAGGATAAGGCCAGTCTTTTTCTATATTAGCAGTATTTTCAGAACTCCCCACACAGAGACGAAAACCAACAATGAATTGCCTCATGGTTAATGTCTGTCAGTGTGCCAGTCCTGGATGAGCATATTTGTTGTTCAAAAATGACTTTCTTCAGCTACCATAATGTCCTGAAATTAGCATGAATCAGAGACAGCTCTCTGCTTTGCTTACAGTTTGCTAGTTCGTCACGCTCAGGTATGGGGTTTGCTATTGAAGAAGTATCACCTAGTGCAGTGGTGTGTTTCACTGATGTGTTTTCAATCGTTTCTGAACAACAACGGAGGTCTGGAGCACAGATGAATAAGATGATCTGGGACTGACAGACTGACAGTGTCACTTTTAGTCTCTGGCCTTACCCTTAGAAACCTTTATTTTTTAGTTGAGGCTGTGTTCACAAGGTGCACAAATGACAAAATGTAGTCTATGGACAAATGATGCTGCTGACTAATGTCACTGACTAATATTTCAGAGCAAAAAAGCAACAAACAAAAACTTCTTTGTTTACTTGAAAGAGTCTCAAAGAAAAAAACTCAAAGTGTCAGTCTAATGAGATTGTTTCACTTGATTCAAGAAAATCTTGGAACCAGCAGGCTCTAATTGAAAATAAATGAAATAGCCTGGAATAACAAAGCAAATGCAATTTGTAGTTAATGAGCTAAAACATGTCAAACCACCGGTAAACTGCATCACCGTGATCATTGGTTGCGCAGATGCTTTAAGCAGTCGAAAACCAACAGAATCAAGAAATCACTGTGGTAAATCAAGGCATCTACATGAATATATGTCTCCTAATAGTTAACAAGTTTAATATTCTGGGTATCTGTGGGATGCATTAATGCCTCTAAAAGGACTGTTTTGATTGGTCTGGCAGATAGTGAAAATACTTTGGGTATTGTTTCTGTTTGGTTTGTTCTGTGTTTACTTGTGAAAGACTATAATGGTTGGTAGCTATAATATACTGATAATTATTAATTCACTATTATTTCACTGCTATTAGCCAATGCTGTTATCTGAATGCTGATGTGTTTCAGTACCATAAGCTAGTTGAATTTCAGTGCTTTGTTGTAAATGACAGAGAAGTATTACATATTGCACCTTTTATTTTGTGCAGTCATGCTTATTAACTGTTGAGATGTTTCTACCATTGAGATGCTTCAAGAATGTTTTATGAGTTTTATTTACATGGGAAATGCCTGTATGCTGTGCTGAAACCTCAAAGGGCATTAGAAAGAATCATGATTTTTGCACTGAATATAAAAAGTCACTGGTGTTTATAAAGAAAATGATGCTAAGTGATGTTTAGTACATGTGGAGACTTTGCTACCTGTGTCATTTTTGCCTCTCATTAATTCCTATCTTAATGTTTACAAGGTGAGAGGTTTGAGGCTGTTATGGATGTGTATCATATTTGTAATTCTCTGTGTTTAATCATATGTTGCACTGTCACTGGGCAACACTGTTAGGTTATATACGAAAACAATTACACTATAGTCTGTGAAAATATCATACACACAAATTATAATATCAAAATATGTGTGTCTATTACTGCAACCAAAATGGACACCACTGATGATTCGGATAAACAAAGAAATAATGGACCTTTGGCTTGTAATAACCTGTAGAGTTATTAAGGGGTAGAGTTTTAATGTATATAAATTGTGCATCAAAAACATGGTTCTTTTTTGAAATGTAGCTTTAACCTGGGTGACCACGTCAGTTGTGTGGTGTCTAAAGAAAGCTAAATCAAAATTACTGCATCATCAATTTTTCACTTTATCTTTAGACCAGCTTCTGTGGGGAATAGTACTGATGTTAGGCATCTGTGGTCACCAACAGTATGGGACCATCCACCGTTAAAATGAGGGACAGTGAAGATTAGTTTAGCATGTTAGATAATTAGCACTAAACACAATTATCAACTGAGGTTAATGGGAATGTCTTTGTAACTGTAACTACTACAACAAAGTGAAGGTTCTTTAATCAAAATTCTAGTCCAGTGATTTTAATTTTCATACCACCTGGATAACTGAGGGGAACCTTGCATTGCAATTAGTGGACTTGTTTTATATAACAATTTGCAAAATATAATTTATTAAAAGAAGAGTTTGGCATTTTTGGAAGTACACTTTTTCACTTTCTTGCCCAGATTCGATGAGAACCACTCTCATGTCTGTGTTTCATGTGTGGAGCTAGGATCAGAAGGTGATTAGCTTAGCTTAGCTTAGCATAAAGACTGGAAGTGGGGGGAACAGCTAGCTTCATCCTATTCTACGTTCAGAAATATGCCTTCCAACACCTGTAATATGGTTGCAAAATGCATCACAAAATAAAAATGGCAGCCCCGTTATGGTAACATTTTGGCTTAACTTTTGCATAGTGGCAGGAAATGATGATATCTTGTCCATTTATATATACAGTCTATGGTATGGATTAAACAATCAAGCTGTTAATTAGTGAGCTTTAAATCAACTGGTAGGCAGATTTTTCCACTTAGGAGAGAGCCAAGATATATCTCTTTCCCCTGTCTTTATTACTTATTTTCTTGTCTTAATGCTAAGCCAGGATGATCACCAGAGCGGACATAGTTCCCAAAATGTCAAAATGATATTTTGAAACTGTCTGTTCTGCCTACATATAGCTACTGTATGTGTCTGTGAACGGCCACTACATTGGTTTCTAATGTTGTTATTCATTCACAACATATAAATTTGGTTATGTTTGCCTCACATGAAAGCCCATGTATCCTGGTCTGCAGACTGAGTGAGTCTTGCAGACTGACAGAATACAGGACCCCTAGGGGCCCCAGACTTCCTAGCAGTGTCCCTGCAGGTCATATACTCCTGTACTCACTGTGAAAACCTCAGCACGCTTTCAGTGCCTCTGAACAATGTTGCCAGTATCCCACTGGCTGACTGAATAGAAGGATGCATGGACGACTGATATACTGATTTCTGAGGCTGTGTGTGTGTGTATGTTGTCTGACAGATGAATAAACTTGTAGATGATATTAATAACTGAGCTGGGTTGATGGGTAGTACAGTGAACGTGTGGCTCGTGTTTTCTTCCTTGGCTCAGCTTGCACTGCTCTAGGGGAAATAAATGTTCTGCTAGCTGATGCTGTTATTGGCTCACAGAAAGAAGACACTGGCGTAGCCTAGTTTCAATTGCACTGATAACCGGGCTTTACTCATTATTCCTGTTATTACTTCTGCCAAGAAAGCAGTTCTTGTGGCCCTGTGAATTTCTTTGTTTGTCAGCAGGGTATCTCAAAAAACCTTATGAACAGATTGCCTGAAATGTGGTGTACTGGCCTCAAGTTACTCAGATTTTTGCCATTGGATAGCTCATTTATTTGTAGCAATGAAATCGGTTACTATGTGGGATGTCTGTCCGGCTTCGCTATTACTCAGTACTGCCACTTTTTAATGAATGTACATAGTAATAGGGGTAAACCTTTTGTGAAGTGTGAAGTCACATAAACCCATTTCCTACTCAAACCAGCAATTACACAAGGAAGAAGAAAAGACTAATTTCTGCTCTTATTTCTAAAATTCAAGGGTACATTTTTTATATTATTCAGGCACATAAATTACTAGTACTACTTAAATTGCATGGGATTTTTATACTTTGATAATAAAAATTCTTCTTCACAGTTCATATACCCCCAAATGATGCAGGTTAAGAAAACAGCTTGCCTTTATATTCAGTTTTAAGCACTGAATGAAGCTAACACTCAATTACTTATTAATTTTTCATACTGAATGTTTAGCCATGCAGCAGCAGTTCACAGCTCAACACGCATTTGCTTCAAACAGTCAGTTCAAGGAGACGAATGACAGCTCTCTCATTCACTCAGACATCAACATGAACCGTCGTATCAAGCTTATTGACTTGCAGCTGATCTTTCATTTCTCTTTGGTTCTGATTTGATAACTGGAAAAACATGACATTTCTGGGTGCAAATTATTCTTAAGCTATCCAACAATGTCAGTATCTGAGAAAACTGAAAGCAGTACATGTTTAAAAATGTCAAACCACAGTTGGCAGCACAGCAACGACTCTCTGCTCCTGGTAGTTCAATGTGGGTTTTATCTTCTAATCTTTGGTTTTGTTTTGGTCCTCTTTACTTTCTAAAATGCTCTGCTTTAATCTTGATATTATTCTTTTGCATTTGCTTTTTATTTATAGCACCAGAGAGCCCTTACGACTGCAGACACAAATCCAGCCCCCTGAGACATCGTCCTCCAGGCCATGTCAGAGGACTGTGGGTCAGCAGGGCACGCAGTTGTTTAGACATTTATGAGGAAGTGATGACCTCTGTGTGGAAACTGGATTTTTCCAGGAACAGACACACACACACACACACAAAGACAAGCAACATGAGAGAGGGCCAGTAGTTCTTGGCTTTATATGAGAGACAGCTGTAGATTTCCGACCGTGTCTGAGAGTCTGAGACAGCCTGGGGACATGCAGCACTGGTCTTTGTTCCACTGTTATTACACAACAGTGAAGGAAGAGAGGGGAGCGTTTCAATAGCAGGAAGTCAATCAGTGAGTAGATGCAATACATCCAATACCTACCTGCAGGGTGCTTTTTGAAAGGAATCAAAAAAATATGTATGTACTGTACATTTCTGAAGAATATTAGTGACTCTGATGACTTTTGATGACAACAAAGACAAATAAAATAAGAACAGTTAAACCAGCAAAGCCACTGTGGTAACAGTCTCACTTGGAGTTTATTGAAAATATTATTCTTTAACAATTTTACAGTGCACAGTACAGTACACTATAGTATAAAGGGTAATGCACATCAAAAACTCACATGGATGTATATAACAACATTACAGGGGGAAAAGGGTGCTGAAAAAGCAACTCCCTACATAGTGGAAGTGCACCAATTAGATGGATAAAGTGACCAGCAGAAAAGAAATGCAGCAATTTTGATATTAGCACAGTTGCCTCACAGCAAGAAGGTTCAGAGGTGTTCCTAATATACTGACCCTATCATGTATGTAGCTGGGGAGGACAAAAATATAGACACCTCTGAATATAATGTATTTCAGTAGAACAACACCTTTATCTATGACCTCAATAATAACCATATAAATTAATGTATATATTTATGGCAATCTCACCAAAAACTGGAACATTTTGAGCTTCATAAAAACAGATGTTAAGGCGGAAGTGTTGCAGTGAATCGCATACAACCGCACAGGTGTACCTAATAAAGTGGCCAGTGAGTGTATTTTGATGGAAATTTCATTTCTTGATATAATCTGTTGTCAAGACTTGTTATTCAGCGCCCTCTATTGGTCACAACACAGTATGCCTGAAAGCACAAAACCTTATAGTATCTAATGATTATAATGTCAAGATTCAAACTTTAAAGTTAAGTGCAAATAACACAACATAACACATGCAAAAAGTCTTTTCCCTCCATGGATGGTGACTGGTGGTAAAAGCAAGGACTAGGTCAGTATATATATTCAAAGAGACGGCACCTGCCAGGCTTAAAGTGTTTGGCTGAACTTCCAGACAGTCTCTTGAGGCAGGCCCAGCAGAACTGTTGTCCACACTTAGAGCATGTCATCACGTTACATCCTCCATCCTTCTACAGCACAAAACACCAGAGAGACCAAACATTTGACCTTCCCTCCAAACTCTTTCACTTTAACGTAATAAAAATTGTATGTAAACAAATGATTGATTGTCGGCGTTCATTACTTCATGTGTATGTGTGAAATAAATTCTAACAGACAGAATACATTAAATACATACGTGTATTCTAGAGAAGCAGTGAGGACAGTTCTTGCTGTTGTTGGCCATCCAGCAATCACTCAGAGTCTCCTCCACTGGGTGCACCAATACTCTGCGGCTGTATCTGGCCTCCAGCAGGCGCCGCCGCTCTTTACTGCCACTGGCATAGTCGTCCTGCAGAGCCTTCAGCCCCTCTGAGACACACACAAACACAAGAGTACTGCTTCAGACACATACCTGCCCCTGCAAACTGAACACTGACCAAAGAATCACTTTAGCCTTTTATCTATATTATGCAAATGTTGACCAGTCATGTCATCTGCTTCCACGCAGCATATCCTGGTGTAGAGTAGATTTACCTGCTGACTGTGGCATGGCTAGACGGCCTTGCTCTGAATATTCTTCTGTCTTTTTTGTCTCCTCCTTTGCCTGACAGTCATCTGTTCCGTGGTAGGTCTTTCTGCAGGTAACACAAAAAGCAAAGTCGCACACAGAGCACATGGCTGCAGTGCTGGACTTCTCCAAGATGACGGCTGAACCACAGGAACGCCGAGGACAGTACACCACATCTACATGTACAGTAAGGGGAGGGGAGAAAAGAATATAAACTCAGTGCAAAATTATTTTAGTATTTTATTAATAAGTTGGCATGAAAATCACATGCTTGAAATGAAACTATCAGGAAACCATAATTTAGTACACTCCAGTGGAGTGACCAGTGAGAATATTCTATTAAACTTATATTTTAATGATAAATGAGTATATTCTTATCTCTGGTCATTCTGATTTATAATGGTTTTAAATACATCTCCATTTTACAAGACCACAAGGGAAACACACCAGGCATGCAGTCCAGGGTAGACTGGAGCAGGAGACGGTCATAGCGGCTGAACAGCTGCTCACCCACCAGACTCTTCACCTACCAAACACGGGAAATGAAACAGCAAGGAGTAAGAAGGAGACAAAGTGCGGCAGGGAAGTAATCTAACCTATTACAGATAAGGTACTGGTGTATAGGGTAACATAGGGGACAATACCCTATAAGAACATAGTCTGTTTACTAAAAAACTGCTAGGTGTTTGGATATGAATTCAATGTGTACAGCATGGCCATGCATAAACAAACCCAGTTTAAGGGGTATTGTAATGGAAAAGTAGCCTATTAAATGTTGTCTTTATATAGGTGTTTTAAAAAATCTTGTAATGGGGTATCTTGTCCCAATAGTGTGGCAAGAGTCCCCCTCACGTTTCGTCTTCTAGATGCCCCTAAAATTATTTAATGACCTGTATTTGTTTTGTGTCTATTATATTTATTAGTCAGTTCTATAATGATTTTATAAAATGTCACATTTTCCATTAGTTTTTACTATGTAAGCTAATATTAGGCTGTTCCTTTTTTAAATGCACCATTCTGCTGCCAGTCTCTTACAGCTTAATTATTTTATTTTAAAAAATTGTCATAAAAATTCTCACTCAACACAGACACAAAGACATTTGCCATTCTCAGTCCATTAAGTTAACATAACTACTGAATGTTAGCATAGCCTAGCTAGCCTACATTTCCAAAGATCCAACTAGGCTAATTCAGCTTTGGTGTAAATGAGTGTAAAGGGGAATGTAAAGAAAATTAAATCACCCATGATCTATCATTCTGTCACAATTTCTACATCCTAAAGAAGGCTGTTGCTAAATTGCACTGTTCTTTTTGTATCTTAATGTAGTTAACCATTAGGCCTAAGCTAAGGCCTAACAGGTCAACCATTAGGCCTAAGCTAAGGCCTAACAGGTCAACCTAATGCTCCAGGTACACAAGTAGCACTGCCAAAGCATTAGATGATTTTCTGTCCTCAGCATCAGAAGCTCCAAAACACAAAGAAGGCTTTCAGAGAGACACTGTGACTGGAAGAGAGACTGTAGAGATGTCCTGTACAGAGAGAGTGTACCTGTGCAGGTGTAGGGATGGCAGTGCAGTCTGCCTGAGGACAGGTGACTCTCCGGATGTTCCCCTCTGTTATCTGGAGTTTAAAGAAGTCGGCCAGACAGGTCCGACAGAAGATGTGGCCGCACTCAGACAACTGTACACACTCTGAACCGAGCCAGCCAATAAAACACACACTGCAGTCAAACACTGTGGAGTTAAACACTTTCTGTTTCTGGGCCACATTATAGATCAAGAGCTGGGACAGGATAATTTGTGATGGAGTCAGGGAGAGACCAGAGGCCTGGCAGGGGCCTGGCAGAGAAGCAGCTCTTTGTTCACTTTGATCTGGTGGACCTGAGGAGCTGGAGGAAGGCAATAGTGAGGCTGCCGCTGCAGACAGATCATTCTGGTGGTCAGCTGTAAACTCTGTGGTTTGGAAGGCCTGTTCAGCCCCCCTTACATCCAGGACTAGTGCAGTTTGGTCAGAATCATTAGAATCGTTTTGGAAAACATTCTTGTAAGGAAGAGTCTTCTGATAATCAGTGTCACATCCAGAGGCATTTTGACCACCAGCAAGGATCATGTCTGGATTCTGAACTTCCAAAGATGGCGCACAGAGGTCTGGTTTATGTGGATCTGAGACATTACAACTTTTGTCATCTGAATTTGGAGTGTGTTGATTATTCGTAGGTTCAGAGGATACAGCATTTTGTGTGCCCTGGCTATTGTACTGAGTGCTGTGTTCATCAGAGGGAAGCTCCAGCAGATTAGAGATGTCCAGAAACCCAAGGGCATCTTCTCTCAGAAACTGTACCCAGGAGAAAAGCACCACAGTGCCTCCAGTGGCCTGGTAGAGATCAGAGAGCTGAGTGCTCAGTGTAGAGAGCTGTGGAGGGAGAGGGCAAGTGCAAATAGACTGATGTAATCTCTGTTGAGCCTCTCCATTCACGGCTGTGACAAATGCTGTTTTAACTAACTGACATTTCTTCTGTTGATTACCTGTGTGTGTGTCAGCCAGCTGCAGGTGAGGGTGAAGGAGGGAGGAGAGGAGGATGGGTAGTTCTGAGGGAGTTCAAAGGTCAGGACCAGTGGTGGTAGGTGTGAAATCTCATACTGCCTCAGTCTTTCACCTTTGGAAGAAAAAACAAGACAACATAAGCAAAGCACATCACACTACACAAGAATGACCAATATTCATCAAAATGGTAAATCTTTTCATTTTTTGTATGTGACATGACTCTTATTTAAAATAAATATATAATTGGCACATTAAGCATTTCATAACACCTCAGATTTATCTTGTGGCCCTTTGGAGGGACACGACCCCTAGGTTGAGAACCACTGGACAAAACAAATGAACTGTAAATGAAGTGACCTATTCAAAACTACTGTCTATACGCCCTATGATCCACAGCCTTCTATTGACCTAATGACGTAACGCAGTGTTTGCCGCGATGCATTGTGGGTGAACGGTGGGAACGGCATAACGCTAGCTATTGCTCCAAGCGGTGACAAGTAATATTAACTCGTAGGGAAAAATGATCGCCAAAATACTTAAACTAGTTCGATGTTTTGTGATGGCATCATATTAATTTCCGTGGCCGCTTGCTGTCTCGTGGAAGCTTGAAAAAAAAGTTCAGCTCTGGCCTTCGACGTATGCTTGATAGACACAATGGCACGCAACAATTAACACGGACCATTTTGAGGTGTTTTTGACGACAATTTTCCATGCGAATGAACGTTAACATTACTTTTCCCTGCTTGTAGCGATAGCTCGCGTTATGTCATCCCCACCGTTCACCCACAAAGCACCGCGATAAAAAAAAATGTATCTACGTCATTATGTCTTAGGTCCACTGATATTAATAACATGTTTGTTTTGGTGTAAGTGGCATATTTACCCCCCTTCAGAGACACAGTGAAGCCCCCAGGTAGCTCCACAAACACTCGGATTTGTCCGGCCGACTTCGACTCATTCCGAATAAACTCCTCAGAATCAAAGATACTTTGGAGGGCGAGTAGTTCATCTTCCTGTTCCTCCAAGTCCGTAGTCATTCCTCCAACCCCTAACACCCGACTGTAACAAACTCCACTAACACCCCGCACTGCTTGTTAAGCTAAGCTGCTTGCTCGAGAAAGCTTTCTTTCTATAATCACGTTGTTTCCTGCTTGAGCTTAATTTTACCTATTAATATCGACGTCTGCCAACGGTGTAACGTGGAATCTTGGAGGTGCAATAATAGTGTAGTTCATTGTTGCCCGTCCCTCCTGCTCTGCTGACTCACCTCTGTATGATGACAGAAGGCAGATAAAGTCGCAACTTTAACCTACAGGCTGAAGTACTGTACATTTCTCAGGTCATATAGCATATAGTAGCTGCCATTGCACGCACCTTTCTTTGCTCAAACAAGCGTGATGCTGTTATGAAAGCCTGGTTGACACATAAAAACAAAAGTAACACATTTAGCCTTAAATAGCACTTAAACTGTGCATTAAAGAAATTTCAGATATAATTAATATTGAGGTACAAAATGCAAAACATAAGTGTTGTATAATAAACTGTGGTAACCAAGTAGGATATATAGGTATAATAGATCTGAGTAGGCATACTGTACTATTTAGTACTTGTACTTGTGCATTTCCATTATACATCTCAGAGGGAAATACTGTAGATTTTACTCCTCAGCATTTCCCAGACAAATGTAGTTTTTTCATATTAAGATTTTACATTCAAAATATATAATCATCTTATAAAGCTCATTGCATTGTTAAAGAGGAGCATCCCCCTTCAAACACAGATTCATTTAAACAACTTTGAGGTACAAACAGGTACAGAAGGTACATGCTACTTGTAGACAATATGAATAGAAAATTAAACCCTAACTGCAATACCTTAGAGAGCTTGTTCATTGCCCAGCACTAGACATAAATACCAGACATGGTACACAAGGCAAGCTACACTGACAATGGTTTTTTTCCTTGGAGCTTTTTATGTTGGTCCTGAGGGTGGTGCTACAGGAAAAGACATTACATCACGGCAACATCATCAGGATGCAACTTTTTCACATTGGAAGTATAAAACGTGCTCAGAAAATGTTGTATTATTCTGGCTGTTAGAGATATCTTGTGAGTAAAGCTGACAGTGCTTGGCGCTAGAGGAAAAAAGAAAGCAAAAAAAAGGAAATGATTTAATCTGTGAATGGAAGCTAGATTCAGTGAAGGCACTGTGATGCATAAGTACATAACTAGTTCATTGAAAGTAATGAAAAAGACTAGTAACATGCCTTGAGTTAAGTTAGTTTTTTGTCTAATGACTGTTCCCAATGTCAAAAATAAGTTTGCTGATGAAGATCACAAGATACAACTGAAAGCTCAGGAAAACTGGATTTTGAATTCATAGTTTGTCTCATTTTTACTGTAACTTGGCCATTTTAAAACCAATCAGAGAATATAATGGAATGAATATCAATAGCAGCAATAGTGAAGTCATGTGCCAAAAAATGGTACTGGTTCTCTTTGGATTAATTTTGTAGACATATAAAAGTAGCTATTCAGTGTTTGCAATATTTCTGTGGCAATAGCACAGCACAGACAAAGACAGATATTATTACATTATTCCTACAGTATGATAGACTGTAAACCTACAGGTATAAATATGCCAGTGAGAAATTATTATTGCATAAGAGTCAGAATCTGAGAAAGAAACTATGTAACAGAAGTGTCTTACAATTTTAGGTTGATAAAAGTTCAAGTTTAGTTGAAACTGTAGTTTTCCTTCAGGTTGACTTGGCTCTCCAAGACCTTCTCTGCCATTGTTGAGGGCATGGGGGCTCTTGGGGATTTCAACTTGACACTCAAGGGCCTGGGGCCTTTAAACACAACATTCTTCTGGATGCCATCAGCAGATGCTGCATTGAAAAAAACAGACACACAAAGTATTTACATATTTTATTCATCCAAAATCTCAAACCAAATTTCCCAGATACTCTACATCACCATTGTTTGTCTAAACCATAACTTTATTCTGTACCTACAAAGCACTACGACAAAGTTACACATTGTTCTTTTATTAAAAGCTTATTTAGTGCTATTTCTGGCTTGAGTTTTGTGCTCCTGCAGTAAAATTTTAGGGGCTGGGTTTACTGGGTTGAAACTGCTCGAAGAAGAGTCCCTGATTCCCACCTGACACCCGCATACACTCCTCCTTGTGTCTTTCATTCCATGCTTTATGTTGACAGGACTTGGAGCAGTAGAAGACCTTGTGGCATCGGCTACAAGCAGTCAGCTTCACAGACACAGAGCGACCGCAGTGATAGCAGAACTTAAACTCTGATTTCCTAAGAAAAAATTCACACAGAGTTGGAAACAGGCTCCTGAAAGGTTTGTGTTTCTTTATTTTTCCTCTCAACTTTCTGACTAAAATTTGATCTGTCTTAGTAATAATTATGAAAGGGAATACAAAAAGAAAAAGGACAGTTTGCAGGTGCCTCAAATGAAAATGTGTGTATGTGTACCTGTGTTTTTCTGTTATGTGTGGTAGACTTTGATGACTGAGGAGGGGTCCGTCTGAGGAAATGGCACCTGGCTCCATACACACGAACCTCTCTGTGGTACTGGTACCTGCTACACACGCACACATTTACAGCCATACTCAATAACACAAAATGACAGTCATATTATTTTGCCTTCAGAAAACACAAATACACTGCACTGACCACTCAGGGTGAGTTGTTGTTGTCCCTGTAAATTCTCTGTTTTCCTCTGACCAGCAGTCTGTCTCAGTAGATCTCCCATCAGACTCAGCAGCTCGTGCCGTGATTTGAACATTTCCCTTTCCTGCATGTTCAGGGCGTGGAAGGGAGTGTTGGCAATACGCAAGTCCTGGATAGTAACATATAACATGCAGCTATTCAGATTATGCAGCAAAAAGATAAGCTTTTTCTTTGACTGTGTATTAATCCAAGTGTCATCGCTAGAAATGTTTGTTGTTTAAAATGTGTCAGAGAAAACACTTGCTGTGCCCACCACCACTGGCATACATAAAGGCATGAAGGGGCAAAAAGAAGCACAGTTTAAATCAACTACTCTCTGATTCACTTTAAAGAAAAACTAATTATAATAATAGAATACCATTTATAACAAGGACTTTGTGTTTTTTCGAATTCAACCAAAATGTGCAAAGCCTTTTTACAGTTGTTGTGTTACCTGGTTGAAGGAGTAGTGCGCATAATCGACTACGGTTCCCACAACATCACCCACCGTTACTGGCATCAGGATATCTGCACCAGCCTTAGTTAACATGTTCAACTACAGCAAAGACACACACACACACACACACACACACACACACACACACACACACACACACACACACACAACACACACACAGAATTCAACTTTGGAGGAGGTGTGGAGGAAATGAGCATAATAAATGTATATATATATATATATGGCCATTAGTCTGTATAGGTGTTTGTATCTGTACCAGCTTAGCTCTGTTGCCACCAAAGTGGTAGTGGACGTTGGCGAGGGCACAGAGAGTGCTGCCCACCCTGTGGCCCAAGGGGATGTTGGGATCTGCACCTCCTTTCAGCAGCTCCTCCACTGCCTGGATAGGGAAAAGGAACAGGTCCATGGCATACTGAGGTTTTGTGCACACACAAACACACACACACATATACTGTATGTCTATGTTTGAGTTTGTGTTTGTGGTTCACCAGGTCATTGCCACTTGCTATAGCCAGGGAGAGAGGTGAGTGTCCACTCCAGAGGAGGTCTGTATGGGCGCTGTGGGACAGCAGGAGGGCTACCACTTTGCTGGCATTCTGCAAAAAAAACAGAAGCATTCATTAGGCCTTTTAAATGGAACAAAATGTTACTGTGAGAAAACCTCACATTATTTGTGATTTTCTTTGTACTAAACATCCAACTTCTTAGGGAGACAAAAGCAATGCAAAATGATGTATTAGTAGTAAAGATATTAAATATGTTCTTAGCTCGATGATTACTTTACACTTCCAGAAACGGTGAAAGTCATGCTCAGTCATGTTTCATACAAGTGATAATGTGTACAGATGTGAGTGTGTGCATGGAAAGTATGTAGTGACCCAGTAGTCACTATCTCTCTGGCAGGCCACGTGGAGGGCCGTTCTGCCTCCCTCTTTAAGACTGGGGCTGTCATTGGAACTGGTTACCAGTAATTCTTGGTCCTTTGTGAAAATCTGTAAAAGACCAAAACCAAAAGTCTTTACTTATCAGTTCAACGATGGGCAAAGCAATTACTACCAAGGACTCCAAAATAAAGCTTAATGTATAAGAACATGCGCACCTTATCTGGCTCATAGATTTCATCTTGGTCACATGCCTGAGCGTCTGGGTCAGTAACAGCACACAGCAGCAGCTCTGTGATTCTGGGACCTGCTGGACCTGGCAGTGCTGCAGCTACATGCAGGGGATAAAGGCCTTTTCTCTATAAAAATGATGAGAAGTTTAGGGGAATTTTAAGCTTAATGGAAATGATGGACAGAGGAATATGAGGGGAAGGTAAGGGCACAATATTAATGTATTTGATGGGTTTGAGTCGATCACTCATTTGGTACCTCAGTGGTTCAACAAACTTACAGCACCTGCAATAAACTGACCATTAGTGGCATTTGCATACGAAGAAGTAAAAGTAATTCCTACCTTAGGTGAAAGGGGAATGTCAGTCCGAGCTCCACATAGGAGCAATCGTCTGACAGCCTCAGCATCAGATGCCATAACTGCCAAAAAGAGGACAGACATGGGGATTCTGGATATGTTGGGGTCAGCTCCCCGATCCAGCAACAGCTTCAGGGTGTTCAAACGTGCACGGTGTCTGGTCAGACAGGCATTCGAAGTGTTAAATTTACACAGCTGCATATATGCAACAAAGCAGGTGGCATCAAAACAGAACAAACAGCACAGGAACAGAGAGGTAAGAAGGACAGAACTAACTCAATTTTCATGGCAGCCATTTTGCGCACTGTCTCCTGTGTGTCAGAGCGCTGAGGCATCCCTGTGCGACTCAGGGCTTCTGCTGAGCGCTGCATCGCTTCCTCTGTAACCTGGATGTTATAGCTGCTGATGGAGCAGGCAGAGTCAAAGGTCTGATCTTTGTCCTGCCTCTAGACATATGGATGAGTAGACAACAGTGAGTTTAAACAGGTACCAGCTTATCAAAGCAATGAAATAGATGGGCTCTCTGTGCTTTATACCTGAACTCTTCCTACTGCCTTGGCTCCACATTCTTTCCACTGCACACTACCCAGTGCAATGTGACCGTCCAACACCTGAATGAAGCGCTCCACACCAGGCACGCCCTCACTTCCTCTCTCTTCTGCCTCCTCTTCATGGATATTCCTCACTCTCTCCTCTAACCTTTCCTTAATGTCCTCTCTCAGCTCCACAGTTATTCTCTCCTGGCCTCTCACCTCACTTTCTCCATTATACCACATTTGATCATGTTCTTCCACCTTTCTTTCACCCCCTTTTCTCTCTTCCTCAACCTCCCAGCGGCTGCTTTCCTCACTCTCTTGAACCTCTCCCTCTCCTCCTGTATCCTTGCTGTCTTTTTCTCTCTCCACCTCCTGCAGGCATTCAGTATCTGTAGGGGTTTCATTTTCATTCAGACCAGGCCAGTGCTCAGTGGTGAGCTCACCACCATCATCTGGTGCTTCACTGCTGTGATGTGAGATGTGCTGTGTTAGTTCTTCTACTGTCCTGAAACAACACACCAAATGGGGAATTTAAGTTATTAAATCTGCTTGTTTTAGAGACACACATCAGACACAAACTAGATGGTGCCAGGTCAAATGGTGCTAACACTTCTTTAGGAAGTCACAAATACAGCATAATTATGACCATTATCAGTGGCTTTGCTTTGTCTTCATTATTAACAGCAGGAGATATCAACTGTGCCTAACAGGATATACAATAGATAGAGTTTCTGTTGAATAATATGTGAAATTGGTGATATTTGCTTCATTCCTACTGGTCAGAGAAGAAGCTCTGGTTTGTTTGGTTGCTCAGAGTTGTGTTAGCAGCCTCAGGTCTGCTGTTACTGAAGTCCACTTGGCTGTTCTGGGGACTGTTCCCACATGTAGATGGAGACTCTAAAACCTAAAGACACATTACAAGTTGTTTCATTTCATATGTGTGTGCAAAATAGAATTTCATGCATGTGAACCTCAGTTTAGAAATGAGAAAACATTCAGAAACAAGACTAAGAGTCTGCAGCCAAGCTAGCAACTTTGGGGTGAATACTACCATCAGCATGCTAACATGCTAACAATGAATTAATTACAGTCAAGGCTGAGGGGAATGGCAGTACTTTAGATATTTCCTCAAACTAAAGCACTGGGTAAAATCACATTTGGATCTGATAATGGCGCTAGGAGATCAATAAAGTCATGAACATAAATTGTGTGTGAACCACAGATGTCTGCAAACAATCCATAGCAGGTCATCCAACAGCTCTCAAGGCATCATTAAAACCCAAAAATGTAACTTTGTCTCTGATTTAGTTGTTTATGTTGATTGTATTTGTTTTATACTCTTATACTTATATAAATATCACCTTGTTACTGTTACACTTGTATGTGGTCCATCTTAAGTTTTGTTTTAAAATGTGCTTTATAAATAAATCTTTATTTACACATTTACTAAGAATGTTTGTACAAAATCTAATGATGATCCAACCAATAGGTGTTAAGATGTTTCAGTCTGGACCATAGTCTCTATACTAGTCTGTATCCAAGTGGTGGACTAACCAACAGATGGACATTGCCAACATTGGAGCTATGGCTAAAACTACAAATACAGTCTTACTTGACTTTGAGCGGGTGGTTTGGCCATAGTGGTGTGCAGAGACTGAAAAGGGTAGTAGAGGACATGACATACAGCAAGGGCGGACATGCCTTCACAATTCAACTTGTCAATATCAGCACCCATATCCAGTAACAGCTGGATGACATCATTATGGCAGTTTACCTGACAGGTACAAGAAAGTAAACAAAGTCAGAAAGACAAACATGAGTTTAAAACCAAGAATAAGACTAAAAACTAAACTGAATCTTTTTATTTTTGTTAAAATAGTTAACTGTAATTGTTGAAATTATGACACTGGTGCAGATTTCAAATTTATTTCATAGTTAAAAAACAGACGTGACAAACAAAAGGCAAAATAAATTAATAATGTGTTACTGTGGCAGCAATGAGTGCAGTGTGTCCCCGTGAATCTGCTACATCAGGGTGGACCAAACCAGACTGGAGGATCTGAGAAACAGCTTGATGCTCCCCTTGGGACGCATGCTGGATCAGCAGCTCCGAACTCACTTCCAAAGGCCCTTTAGGACCAAAACCTTCCCTGTTCTGAGAGAGAAGGGCAGCCACATCCCAGTCCACATTTTCAGCCTGTCGTCTGACAGACACACAATTACATACACATTAGTCATCTGCAATACTGCTTGCAGTGGTACCTGTAAAGAAGGTATAGGTAATTTTCTTTTTCTCACTACAATGTGTTTTGGTACCAATACTCAAACAACACTTTTTTTTTTTTTTTTTTAAATATGATGGACCTGTGTTTGTGTATGTGAATGTGCATGCGATCCTGTAAGGGCAGTGTGGAGAATGGGTCTCGCTCATAGCCTCGGTGAGGATACGTGTCTGGCTCCCAGAGCTCGCCATGAAAAAGCTGATCCAGCTTCCTTCTCCGGCCAGGAGGCAACGGCAAGTGGTCACCATCTGTTGAGTAAATCTCCATGTCGGGGGGAAGGATAAAACTTTCATCTGACAGCAGATGCATCTGAAGGGGATGGAAATTAATTGATCTGCTTTTATTTAAGTCACAAAGCACTTCTAATGGTTCACTATAGCATTACTTTACCTCAGAGTCTGTCCTGGCTTCTGTCTGTGAACCACTAGAGAGAATGGGAGGCTGGCAAAGACAAGAGAGGAGTGAGAAGGTCAGATAAGAATCTGGCAACTAAACACATTTTAGTGACATACAATTTACCAAATTTTAATGTGTAAAAACTACACACATTTGTGAAGATAAAAATAATTTAGTAGCCTCTTATTCCTGGTACAGGATTATTTTGCTTACATTGCTGACTATTATAAAGGCATGATGACAAAATGTAGCTGTGAGAAAAATAAATCAGTGGAGCTTAAAAAAAAAACTCCAAATATAAGGATTCAGTGTCTCAAGTTGTTTTGGTTTTGAGCACTATAGTCAAGAGATACCGTATGACATGTTTTTGGCTGGGTTCTTGGTCAAAAGAACACAACATTGTTTTAAAATCAATATAATGAGAAAATGATTATTTGTAACCAAATACATATATGAAAATACACATTTTAGCCACTTCACCTGTAGGTCAGCATATACTGTACCTCCGTCAGGAAATCAGTGGTGGTATCTGGGTCCACGTAGGCTGCATATTCAGGAAAGTTCTTCAGGCTAAAGCCCTCTTCTACAGAGGTACAAAGCTTTAGCAGACACTCCCCAAGCCACAGACCCATGTCCTGATGCCCATCTGGATAACTAACCACACCTGGACCAAACCTCTGATCAGCACTGTACAAACCCTGAGGGGAGGAGGGCGGGTCATTACTTTTTACTCTTAATAGGTCTATAAACTCTATATATACACAGTATATTTTTAAAAGCTTTCCAAATGCCTGTCATTTATACAGTTTACCTGAAAGGTGGCTCCATCAGGGAACAGCTGTTGTCCATATCCTTCCTTTCTGTTAAGGTAGAACTTGCCAATGAACTTATGACCTGTAGGCCAATAATACAGACCATCCCCATGCCTGTAGTCTCTGAAGAAAGAGCCTTCATAGTACTAAACAAAGACATAGAGAGAGAAATAAAATAGTGACTTTCCTTTTTACAGTAATTTCAGGAGACAGTGAAAAAAATCTCATTACGTTAAGCAAATTTTTGAATGCATGGGTTTTGGTTACAATATTTCTAGTTTATTATATTGTTAGCTTCTTCAGAAAAGAATCAGAGTATTTCTTATACCGCTGTCAGTAATGTAATATACATGATTCTGCAAAATGAGCAAGAGTATTTCAGTACATTTTTGAAATTCTTCCACCACTGGTTTCACGGAGTTAACTACCTCTCCATTTCTCCAGGTGTACCTTCCGCTACCGTGTTTGAATCCGTTCACAAATTCGCCCTCATATCTGGATCCGTCGGGCCACTCATGAACACCAAACCCATGCCGTCTCTCTTCCCAGACTGGAGTTGCTGTGTGCCCATTGCTTTGTCTCCCTGTTCCTGACTTCGCCGTAACACCTATGCAGGTCGTCGAAAGCATTTTAACCGGGGCGTAGCCTTTCTGAAAAGAACTCACCTGAATCCATTTGAGTACAACAATTTCTGTGCAGTTAAAGTTTCAGGAAAGACTAGGCTGTTCGGAGAAGACAACTTTAGCTGTCAGAAGCCAAATTTGGACTTTTCTGTAAGCGCCGGTTGTCATGACAACAGTAAAACCCTGTGCAAGTAGAGTTTAGTTGTCACGCATGCGCACACGATAACAAAGTATACTTTGAAAACACGCCTGCAAGGTTCAAGGATTATATTGCCAATTCACCATATGTGCAGGACATTCAGAAAATCCAAATACCGTTTCTCTCCCACCTAGTATTGGGTGCCATAACATTTAAGAACTAAAATAGAGTAAAGCAGAATAAAAATGGAATAAGAATTGGATTGACGTAATTAGGAAAAATCTAAAAGGTACAGCCAATAAACTGTGACTCAAAACCGTGTACAGTCAGTGACGGTAGTGAGACTTTTTGTCTCAGTACCTGCTATTTTCAGCTTTCTTACTTTAGTGTTCCACCAAATAAAACCGCTCATTTTCACCACCATGGGGGAAGGTAGCTGGTTCTTTTGAACACAGCTGGCTATCAGTGTTTCAGAATGATTTAATATGGGCGACGTGCTAATATCATAAGAGCAAACTGATCCGTTGTCACCATTTCTCATGCTGCTGAGGATCCCAGACAAAATGAGCTCATAAAGTAGCTAGCTACAAAAAAATCATTTCATGTAATCATCTTTATTTTTATGTCACAGTGAAAGAAAACTTGCTTTAGTGCAAATTATAACTGTATTTTATGGTTTTTGTTTGGTTACACTCACACATTTCCACCAATTTAATGGACAGGTCAGATAATCAGCAGTGTGTAATACAAGACCAGGTAATAAAATTACAAGACTGTTCTCTCTGACTTTTTCAATTTTTAGGCCAAACTAGTACAATAGTAGTTCAATAGCATTTACAAAATGAACATCTTCCTGAGACAACCTTGGTGATTTATTAAACTAAAGGACTGTTCACTGGGTACCTGCTAATTGTCAGTGATGGTGTGACTTCCTGTTTATAAAAGGGCTTATTTGGACCAGGATGCTTATGTAATTTTACCATCATTCTTTCATCTATTCACCCTAACCCAGCAGACACACTGCAAAGATTTGTTTTACCCAACAACAGGCCTGAATTTATATAGTTGAATAACTGGAAATGGGTTAAGATACTTCTAAGTTCATCCAAGTAGTGAAATAATGTTCTTACACTGGTTTCTTTACTGCTCCATATTTGAATGGCCTCTTCCTTTTCTGTATTTAAAAGTCAGCTTAAAGTTTATTTGTTCGGTCTTGCTTTTGGTTAATGTCAGATTTGTTCAAATTGCTTGTGCCTTTGATATTTCAGTGAGGCAGTCACATTTTCTGCTATTTGTTGTTGTTGTTAAGCACCTTGGCCAACTTCTGTCGATTTTAACAGTGCCATATAAATACATCTGACTTGACCATATTCAGTATAGAAACAATGGATTTTCTTACTCTCTAACACAGCTGATATTTTTAAAGTGCATAAACAAAACAACATTATAAGGAGTAATTTTATCTGTCATTGTAACTCAGAAAACATTTGAACCACTTCATCCATTTATTAGTCAGTTGTTCAATTTGCTCCAGAAAAAGTAAATCCACCATGTTAAAACACTCTTCAAAATGACATTGAGTTTATAAACAGCAATGACCAAATAAGTCAAAATGGCAAAGCAGGGACTCAGTGCTTACATACAGTATATACATTAGCTATGTGCTACTGTTCACCACCATTCTGTCTCTGAAAGCTTTTCAAAGGTCTTTCAAACATGTAGCATTACCACTAATTTTATGGACAAAGATGAACACAGATAGCCAAGGTTAGACAGTTATTACCTAAAATAGTTTTTAGTATAATGAGAAGAATTCACACCTTTACTATGGTGTATACCATCAACTGTCAATATTAAGCAATTAATGCCATAAGCAGGCCATATCCTTATGGCATCTGATTAAGAAAATCTGCTTAAATGACCACTTGGCCTTATACCTACAGTAAATGTGCACCAGGATTGAAAGAACTGAAAACATAATAATGAATACAAGGTAAATTCCCTTCCATCTTACATTCAGGAAGCTGAGCTGAGTGCACTGTACTGACTGATATGAGATGTAGGGAGGCAGTGAAGTTTGTGGAGGCTGTTAGTTGTATCAATAGACCTTTTAGGCATTGCTCCTTTCCTCTATGGTAAAAGTCTCCATGGGGCCTTTGCCCAGGGCCTTGATGTCATTCAGGAGACTGGTGGGAGTGAAAATGTGGGAGGACCCTAGAATCAAAGTGTAAAGAACCATTAGATCCCAAGTTAGAGCATAAAACCTTTTTGCAATTCTGACTGGCTCACTAGGGGAAGTAAAACAGCTGCCAATATAAACAAACAGTGACTGCTGGTGGTTGTTCCTGGTAAAAAGACCAAATAAACTGAAGTTTCTATTACTTTATCAAATCTGATGAATGTCAATGGCCACAACTCAGCAGGTCACAAAGTTCTAGGGTAGTTTATTCCATAATCTGTGTAATCCTGTATTGATGCTCACCTACGATGACCTCACAGGATTTGACTGCCTGGGTGACCTCATAGGCACAGCGCATCTCAGAGAAGCTGATGCCTCCTATAATAAAGATGATGAGGCGTGAGCCAGTTCGGCGTTCGTCCTGAGCACTGGGTTTGTGCTTCTGACGGGCACTGTGGAGCAGAGGATGGATGACAGAAACTTACTGAGGCAAAATTTAAAAATGCAAGCTACATGTCCAAATTGGAGACAGAAATTGGAAAATCAACATCCTGGGAAAAGAGAGAGAGAGAGAGAGAGAGAAAGAAAGAGGGTGATAGTCAGAAATCTAGATCACAAAGACAAACCCAGATGACTGCAGTGAGTAAAGTGAATGACAGTGACACTCAAAACAGTCCCTTAAAGCACTATATCAATGAAGGGCACTAACTTATCACCATTTGTATTTGTCTGTAAAACATGTTCCATAGATGATTTTTACCATGCATTTTCTCCAAGTGAAAATGAAAAGACAACTGAATATGTTCACTAATATAAACTTATTGTTGTAAAACACACACAACACTTTAAAAAAGAGGAAAAAGTGTTGGCTTTCAGTCTCTAATGCAAGAGATTTGACATTAAGTTGATAAATGAGATCAAAAATTCTAATCAGAGATCAAACATTCTAATCAGAGAATCTCTATCAGAATTACTTCCAGAAACTACTGACCCAGTTTTAGCATGATCACTCACAAAAACCCACCTGACTGCCCCCGAGCCATTCCAGGCAGCAGGACACTCAGACTGGTGTGGCCATTCTTTGGTGTCCAGTTTGTTCTCCACAGCATCCTGAAAGAAGCAAGTTCTTGACTTATCAGTCATTTGTTCAAGTCCCATAAAGATACATTATCTTTGCAAAAAAAAAAATCATAGTTTAGAATATTGACTTTTGTGAGGTATCCTATGTACATTTACAGTTGAAGTCAGAAGTTTACATACACTTACAGTAGGTTGAAGTCATTAAAACTGATTTTCTAACCACTCCACAGATGTCATCTTAACAAACTCTTGTTTTTGGCAAGGCTAGGTTAGGATGTGTACTTTATGCATAACACAAGTATTTTTTTTCCAGCAGCTATTTACAGGTAGATTATTTCACTTATAATTCATGGTCATCAGTACATAAGGAAAAACACCATGGGACACCGCAGCCATCATACTGCTCAGGAGGGAGATGCAATCGTTCTCCTAGAGATGAAGGTACTTTAGTCCGAAAAGTACAAACCAATCCCAAAACAGCAGCAAAGGAACTTGTGAAGACACTGCAGGAAACAGATACCAAAGAATTTATCCTATATGTCCTATATCGACATAACCTGAAAGACTGCTCAGCAAGAAAGAAGCCACTGCTCCAAGGTGCCACAAAAAAGGCTGACTATAGTTTGCAGCTGCACATGTGGACAAAGATCTGACGTTTTGAAGAAATGTTCTCTGGTCTGATGAAACAAAAATTGAATTGTTTGGTTATAATGACCAACGTTATGTCTGGAGGAAAAATGGGGGAGGCCTGCAAGCTGAAGAATGCCATCCCAACTGTGAAGCATGGGGATGGCAGCATCATGTTGTGGGGGTGCTTTGCTGCAGGAGGGACTGGGGCACTTCACAAAATAGATGGTATCATGAGGAAGGAAGATTGTGTGGATATATTGAAGCAACATCTGAAGACATAGACAGGAAGTGAAAGCTTGGTCATAAATGAGTCTTCCAAATGGACAATGACCCCAAATGTAGCATGCACTGCTTATGGTGAACAGACACAGCAACCAGAGAAACAAAGATGACTTTTGTGCCAATATCCTCAGAAGGTAAAAGCTAAACTGACTGAAGAACTCCAAAAAGAGCAAGTATAACCCTTAAACTGTAGAAAAGGCAGATAACTACATCACAAGCTCTGTTGCTAACTACAAGATGCACAGAACTGGTTTAAGGCAGGTGTAGAGGCCTGGAAATAGTGATGGGGAAAAAATAGACACCCCTAAAATTTTATTTTCTTACTGTACTATTTTATTTTTACTGCTGACATTCATTTGGTTCCTATGACATCTCTTTTGAGTTGGGCATATTTCCTATATTGGCCAGTAGATGGCGCATGACGCGCAGAAGTGGTAGAGAGTAGGCTTGGGGCACGCCAGAGGAAGAACCATTCCTCTCCTGTGAAATAAACCTGCTGAAGCGTGTCCTCTGTGTACCCTCTATCCCAGACACACACCGTATGCCCTCTGAATCCCAGAGGAGCAACACAGGGAACCAGTCTGCTGTCAGACACAGCATATTAGGAGGTGTGGTTCAAAAGTTCAGCCATTTTTGTATTTTACAGCTCTTAGATTTCAGATTTTTTTTGTTACGAGCAGATGGTTTCAACTGATTCGAACCTGGTTCAATGCTCCCTCACATCAAAGAAACTGTTTCCTGTTGAAAGAGGATACAGGCAACCAGGTAGTAGATGAAGATGGCTCAGCAAATGTTTTTCAGGTAAGAACAGGAAAGTAATGCAATTATGAGAAGACACAAAATAACTTCTTATGTTACAGGTCAGCCTGAACTCCTCATTCTAAATTATTATAATTCTAACCAATTTAACTTTTTTAACAATTAAATGATAGTACCTACAAATCTTTTTGGCACAGATATGCAACAATAAGCTCCTGCAACATGTGACTAACAGTCTTAAGAGTTTCCTCTTTCTCTGTGGCTAACACTCTTCTCTTGCCTGTTCAGGATTCATTTGATACCAATATGTGGATTGTCATTTCTGGAGTATTAGAGAAGTGAGATTCAGTAAGTCGATGAGTTTAGAAATAACCTAATATTATGGCCAAGGGGAACTGGAGTAACCCTACCTCTCAGTTTCCCATCCAGTGCTGAGAACTGGACTCAACAATAAAGTTTTAAATGCAACAGCCTCAGATATATGATATTATGTAGTCAGTGTTTTATGGTTTACAGCTCATATCACTTACCAGATTCAAAACCAATGGCCACAAGCAAATTTAGGAACAACAGAAAGTGAAAAGGTAAATGAGAGAGCAAGCCTCCTTTTAGAGTACAAACTTTAACAAGGCAGCAGGTGATGGCGATATCAGAATCAGAATCAGCTTTACTGCCCAGGTGTGTCGGACACACGAGGAATTTGACTCTGGTACATCGTCTCTCAATGTGCATGTACTACATATCCCCATGCAAGGGGCAAGTAAACAGTAAACCTACAAAAGGCTGAACATATCCCCAATAAGCAGTATTAACAAGCAACAAACAGTGCAAACAATGCAAAATAAGCAGTATAAACAGGCAGTAAACAATGCAGACAAAGGAATGCTCGTTGTGAAATGAGATAAATAGGAATAAGCTCTGTTTCAGCAACAAAGCTATTATACAGTATTATTATACATTATGAATTTGATTACCTCCTTTTATGGCACTTTCAGTTTACTTTCACAAATGCCGACTGTGATCACCACAATGATCTAAATCAAGCTACATGTTGATTATTGTAAGACAACTTGCAGTAATGAGGAAACTTCTTTTCTCTTTCCTTCTGATCCCACATACTATCTAGAGCCATTTTAAGTCCTTTATCCAGAATTCTTAGTCTGCATGACACACTATGGTAATGTCCTCTCACTTACCTCCATCACATCTTTTATAATAGGAGTCCATCTGGAAAGGTTGTATGTCTGCACCTGGGACCGATCCCGTCTGTTTGGTTTGCGAGAGGAGCTACTAGCCTAGAAAAAAAATCACCAGGAATGAAATGAGAGAGTCAAAAACAAACAACTACAAAACAAGAGACCCTGAGTGAACCAGGGTAAAACCTCCAGCCACCGGTTAACACTCATCTACAAGTGACTGCAATCAAAAGCATCAAATCAATCCATTTTTCCTCTTCCCCACATACCCCTGTGATGATAGGGACCCCCAGTTGTTTCCAGTTCAGGATAAATTCTCGTTCATCCTCGATCTTTACATGCTGGATGAGTTTGCTTAAGTTCTCGTCTGTTGTTCCTGTTTACACACAATGACCATACAAATCATTGTGAAAATGTATGGTAGATGAATCCTCTTAGTCAAATAACTAGACATGAAGGTCTAGGCCAGAAGGGAAAGTTTAGGGTTTTAGGTTCATTTTATGGTCATTTTCTATTACTCTTAACTAGAACATATTATCAACCTCTCTGGTATCACCACAAATATGAATATATTATTAGCCCCTGCTGCTAGCAACAGGCAGAAACACACACCAACCGGTGCTTGTCTGGCTTGGCATGATTAAAGCGTGCTGATGGAAAAACACAATAAATGACCATGGCTGCAGAGTGCTAATAAACAGAAAATTAAAGGAGAGCAGTTTGTGGAAGGAGAACACTGGTGTACCATTCAGGCTAAAGATATAGAGGAGCACTGCTCTGATCTTGTCGTGGGTGCTGAAAGGGTGGAGTAGCACAGGTAGCAGGGTCCTCATGGGATCTTTCACCTTCACCCCGTCCACATCTGACCCCACTGCAAGGTCCTACACAGAGACAAATCAATTTTTAGCTTTAGCCTGGGAATACTGTGAATGTTTGCACTTCAACATTTCTTCAGAAATGTCCATAAATGACACATCTGTAAGCAGACCAGTACAACTACGGTGCACAGACAGACCTGTTCAGCTTTGCAGAGCTTCTCCAGGTTTGAAAACTTTTGCATGCAGTCCTCAGCCAACTGCAGATGAATAGTTTTCTAGATTTCAAACAAAGAGAAAATTTAAGATTGTCACTAGCATTTCAAAATTATTTCCTTTATTTAAAGACAACTATATTCATCATACAAGCCAGAAGTTACTGCTTTCCATTATATTTTGCTGCAAAAAAAAAAATGCTGAAGTAAACTGCACATGATAACAGGGTTTTGAAGCACCACACCCAACAGTGACATAAAGATTGCTTAGCTGTATAATTACACTGACACAAAGCTGAAACGGTTGGTGTTACATTTGTCCTGAAACCATGGCATGTTACTGTAAGTCTCAAAAGATTCCCCCAAGAAGGCCATTTTACCCCTGAAGAAATTCTTAAAATTAACTTGAATGGGTACTTTAATGCAAGAGTAAATGACTGCAATTTCATTGCACTGGTTCTTCATACCTCAGTCACCTGTTTACGGAATGAGGGCATCTTCTTCATCATTTGAGCCAAATTGCTAATTGTGATCTGGAAAGGAAAGGAAAGGAAAGGTTTGCTCAAGTAGATAGTTTTAAGTATGAAATTCACAGTTCAAGAAATCAAAGCAGCAACAAAACCTCACAGCACTGTACCTTTCCATCTGGCTGTTTCTTGTTAGCAGATATTTCCTTTAGCAACTTGGGGATTTGTCTATTTGTGAGAAAAAAAACCAGGGTTAGACAGTAGGGATGAGGAAGTCATTAACAAGACTCCTCAGCCCTTCAGGCTGTGCACACTTACTCTGAAACCTCAGCAATGTGCTTATGCCTGAGCTTGACCCAGAGCTGGTCATCCTCATTCAGCAGGGCCTGCTTCTCTGAGCCATCTTTAGACTTGTACCTGTCCATGAAAACAACCAGGTAATTGGTTCCAGCTGCCTGCACTTTAAAATTTGCTTGTCTGCCATATGACCCTGGCAATAATGTGTAATGGGCACATTATGTATAACTGTGAGAATATACTGAAACCGAGTATTACTGGTAGGTGTCATCTTGGATATCAATGAGGTCATAAGCCATGGCCTGGTAGGTCAGCTCATGCAGGATGGGGCTGACGGGGTCAAAACCTCTTTCCAGGATCAGCAGCTGTGCCTGAGTCTTTCCCTGGTGATCAGGAGAAAAACATCAATGAAAAAATAAAACAGAACTAAAGATGAACTGCTTTATCAGCAGAGATTGGAAATGTCTAGTTTTCAGCGTGATCTCCCAATCACTCTGAGATTTCCGATTCTGTGCCGATCAGATTTAGAGGCACGACAGTCCAAGTGGCACATGCAGTGGCACAGACCAAAAGCGCAGCATGTGCAGTGCGTGCACCTCAAGCGAGACTCACGCTCGTGGTATAGTGGGCGTGTGTTCACTTGTGCGTTGGAAGTGCTTGGTGGACAAACAGCACACAGAGGGTGCTACAGAAACACCTTGGAGAAGAGGAAACTATGTCCAAATCTCTAACATAGCACAAACTGTACATACTGATGGAATTACTGACTACACATAAAATGCATGCATATGTACAGTATACCGAACCCATGGTAAAACACAACAAAACTACACACACTTCAAAAATACAGTAACTGTCTGCTCAACAGTAACAGACATTCTTCTGTTTCTATTACATGTTATACTGTTTATATTTGGAGAAATACAAATACTGTATTTAGTTGGAGATTTGTAAAAAAAAAAAAAGAGTGAAAGACAGAAAATGTAAAACTTTAATACTTTTTTATTATAATTAAGTTTTTTTTTCATTAAAGAAAAGTTACAAAAGTGTCTGTGTGTGCTGTTAATTACAGTTCTTAGAAAGAAAAAAAAAAACTGGAATCAGCCAAAATCAGAATCAGCAGGTCAGACTTGGGGGAAAAAAAAAAGAAAATCGGAATTGGCCAAGAAAATTGCAATTGGTGCATCTCTAAATATAACACTGTTTTTCATATAAGAATTCAGGGCTTACTATTTACCTTGTACCAAACAACCACCGCAGATTTTCCCTTTTCATGTTCAAGGACAACAACAATCTCCTTAAAAATGCTCTTTTCTTTTCATGCTAAGCTGTCTGTGGAAAACAATCTGTATTTTGTGGTCCCAGTTTACTCCCTTGTCTAAGACCTTGCTAATTGTCAGCAGGTGTCTCACCTTTTTCTTGCCACTGTCATCCAGCTCATAGTGCCTACCCAGCTTGTTATCCAACAGCTCTGCAAGCATCTTGGCGTTCTCCATGTTGCCATCTCTAGTTGTGATATAAATTGTTTTCCATGAGTTATCACAAACAAGTTAATACATACTCAGTTTGCAATATTAGTTAATTCAGCAGCTGTAACACATCGAGACATCAAACTGATATTCCTGATGTTTTGTAGCAGCTATATGGAGAAAAATATTGGTTACTTTTGTCAAACCACTTAAGCTAATTCTTCGTCGTGGCTGCGAACAACTATAAACACATATTTTTCCAATGTTGTCAGACAACACATTGTACGAACCACTTATTTTCTAGTGTGGCCCTAAGCCACATTTCTGAACAATTAGGTAATATAGTCTCTGGTCTTAGTTTAAGCTTTTCTCACAAAAGGTCTCACTATGCTTGGGGCTGAGGTGTATTGTAAGCTGAGAAACCTCTCTGTCTTACTTCTTGTATCTGACCCCTGGATACTCGTCCAACGTAGCACAGAGAGTGACGAGCTGATCTGCCAGTGTCTCTAGTGTCTTCTTTCTGTCCTGAGTGCTGGGACCGTAGATGCATTGGAACGCCTCCGGATTATCACATGTGAACACCTGAAAAACATCCAACACATCAATGTAAAAAAAAACAAAAAAAACAACAACTACTGTTTAAGTGAACATTTTATATGTAATGGCATAATAAAGCAACATGATCTATTTATTTTCAACAATGAAATGCCTAAGTATTAACAGAAATAAATAACAGTTCTGATTCACTTTGTAAAAATCTTAAAACAATTAGGAATCCTAAAACTATTTTTTATCTCCAAATACAGAGAGCAACCAGTTACAAAGCCTGAGCCATGGGGATAATACAAACATTCTAAAAGCATTACATCAGAGTTTAAAGCAGTCAACACCCAACACAGATTCCCTCAGAACACTGTAAGGCTCCTCCTCCAAGTAGCAACATCAGAATTAATCAGAATCTGCTTTATTGGCCAGGTGTGTCAGACACACAAGGAATTTGACTCTGGTACATCAACTTTCAATGTGCATGTACATATCCCCAAGCAAGGGGCAAGTAAACACTAAAACAACATAAGGCTGTATACTATAACAGAATAAGCAGTATTAATAAACAGCGCAAACAATGCAAAATAAGCAGTATAAACAGGCAGTAAACAATGCAGACAGACAAAGGAATGACCTAGAACACACTAAACAAGCAAATTTTCCCTCATTTCACAAAAAACCATGCAGCCTGAATAAAAAGAGGAAATGGACCATTACAAAAGAACCTGAAAGAAAACACTTTGGACACACTCACTTGTGCCTCCTGTGGCATGAAGGATATGTTGATTTCCTTACAGACTCGTATGTACTTTCCACAGCATAGCTTCATATTGTTGAACAGGTCATCTGGACAATCTGTGTGTAAAAATGGCAAAACAAATAACAAAATAACCAACATTTTGATCATCTTTCTGTTGGTTATTTCCCTGTTATAGCAGATTATAGCAAAGCAGTTGAATATTTAATTTACTTACAGTCAGTAAAATAAACATATGCTGCTTTATATTTGGGTTTTTGCTTGAAGTCCCGAATAAAGGCGTCCACACACTATGAAATTAAATTGTAGAAATCACCAAAGTTTGACAGGAAAGCTTTGGAATGAAACTGAAAAGTTATCAGAGTAAAAACTAATGTTGGAGCAAAACATGCTGTTGCTTAGATTTTAATATCAAACCTTAGCGGTTGGTGATATGAAGTAGATAGCCTTCATTTCTAGAACAGGCTCTCTGATTTTGTACAGGTCCTCTACAACTTAAGACACAAGATATTTATGTTAGAGCAACATCCAAACACAGACTTTATTCATTCTGTCAAAAAACCAATATGATATTGTTTTTTTTTTTCTATTGTGGAAACATGGCCTACTTGTTATTTTCTCTGATATGAGATCGGACATTTTGCAACATGATGAGAGAAGCTTGGTGGTGAAAGGGTCCAGAATCAATATCTGTGGAGAAAAGGACATTAGTAATTAATTTAAATTACATACATATATGAAATTACATAATCAGTTTGCACATGCATAATTGCACACTCACTGCTGACTATTTGCACATACAGCTCCCATGTAGCATACATTCTCTCTTCATTATATTGTGTTCTTGTGGTATTTTTTATTATGCTTCTTTCATTTGCTGTTTTAAAGTGTCTTAGATTTTGTGTTACCCACTTATCTACTTTATATTTCACTTGTATTGTGTGGCATTTATGTGGACGGCAAAGTAAGAATTTCATTGTACAGGGAAACATGTTTCCTTGCTGTGCACATGACAAACACTTTGACCATGACCTTGAATTTGTGCAATTTTCTGTAATACTGTATATTGCTAGACTATGGAGCACCACATGAAAAGCAAGAAGGTGAATTACAAGTCTGTGTGGAGTCACAGCACAGGAGTGGAATCATATAAAAGTTGGATATGTAATGTGGAGGTTCTCCGTTCATGCAATGATAATCTTAAGACTCTGTACCAAGGATTGTCCTACCTTCCATACTTCAGATTTCCTGCAGTCTGCAATAATTGTCTCTTTTATTCCTGTAAGAGATACAAAACGTGACTCATGAAAAACATTTTCTGAGCTATAGCTTGGCTCTGGTACACTGGCACTGAACAGAGAATAATAACTAGGAAGAATTATGAACAATGAGTTCACAGCAGTTTCTTAGTTTTAAGAGTAATGAACTACTCAGTTAGATTTACATGATGTGGTTAATTTGGCCAGGTACATCTCTATGATTACAAAAAAGTTGCCTAAGTCTGTGTTTTCACTGATTAACATCCTTAAACGTGATGCAGATGAGTCCAACCCTATAGCATGACCTATGTGAAAGTGCTAATGTTCAGTGTTTGTTAAAGCACTTTTAGAGAGATGTTTATTCAACTTAACTGTCAGTCTGGAAGGCTGTAAATTGTGCCCAAAGCTTTGCATTTGTATGTTTTAATGCCTGTTTGCTGCAGGACTCAAATTAATTCAGTTGACAGAAAATCAATTGGCAATGAGTTGGATAAATGATTAAGTCTTTTTTTTAAGCAAAAAATGACAAAATCTCACTGGTACCAGCTTCTTAAACACAAATATTTGATAGTATTATATTTTTCGATAATAGTAAACTCAAACAGTTTGTATTTTATACTGTTAATCATACAAAACAAGACATATGATAGCTTGTGGTTTGGGCAATAATTATGGGCCTTTTCACTATTTTATACACTAAACACTCAATAGATGATGAATTAATATAACTGACAGATGTACAATTAATGAAAATAACTGATGGTTGCAGACTTAACAGTTCTCCCATTATGTAATAATACTACTTTGCCTGTGGTTTTCTGTATTAATCTGCACAGAAAATAGGAAATTTGAAATACAACACAAACTAAAACAATTCAGTTCATAAAGACAGATTTTGACACAACCCTTCTACAAGAGAAGGGCAACACAGGACACTTTTGATGTTCTTCAGATGCGCAAAATGTTCATTTTTTTTAATCAAGCAAACTATGCTGAGCCAAATGAAGGGAGCCTGGCGCTTCTGAGGTACCCTGGGATAGCTGCCCTCTGAGCCACGCCTCACCCCCAACCAAATGAGCCAACACTACGAGAAATATACATTTTTCGTAGAGGGAATACAACTCAGTTTGACGTTAGTTTTGTGTCAGATAAAGATAATCCATCTTAACCTAAACCTAAACAATGATGTGTTAACATTAGCCCAAAAATATAAGCTGGGGCTCCAGGCGATCTCACTGACTACATTGAGCTACTAGAGTCAATAAGGTTACGATAAAAAAATAATGTTATGCCGTGAGGATTCTGCTACTGTTTACCATACAGTCTTCCATCAAACCAATTTTCTAAACTTCCGTTGCAAAAAAAAATAGCAGAATTAAAGTTAGCGCTAACTGTCACTCCAAGATGGAATGTCACACAGGAAGAAACAGGCAATTAAAATAGCACGTGATCAGCCGATAAACCTTTAAATCATAAAAACCAAGCCTGTGCTGTTTTAATGCAGAATAAACACTTTCCTGTTGGGGTGAACTTACTTTTCCAAACTACTGTTTTCAGCCCGTGATCTGTAACCGCAGCCATTTTGTTTTGTTGGTCCTGTTTTTTGAACTGCGCCTCTTCCTGTCCCGTGTCGTCGGTCTCTGACGTCAGCTGCGTCAACAAGTGTGCGACGTAGCGCTGTTGTAGATTTTATAAAGACATAGGGTCAAATGCAGGCTAACACAGTTTCAAACACTTGTTAGGTATTTTTAGTCAGATAGATATTGGATAGATACTTTATGTATTAGAAATGTTTAGTGGAGATAGGATGTCTAGTTAGACTGTTAAATGCTTAGGCATGCTTATGAGTTTCTACAGGGTACATCTGGTCAAGGATACTAGAGAGAAAAGTTGATGACTGTCAGCAGACAGTGTTTAATATTATTACATGTATAACTGTAGCTTTAGCCATAATATGTTCTTTTGTTTAAGCCACGACATGTACTAGAGGTCGTGAGAATGTTTTTAGTTACACACCACTTAACCAACAGACACACACATTCACACGTTGATTTGCTTCATGTTTTGACTACTGCTATGACCAGCTGCAAAGCTGGTAACAGAGACATCCCAGTTGATGTTTCTGTGTAGTATGGGGCTAGCCCAACCGAGGTGATATAATGTATAGGCCTGGTGGGCTCAGGGGCTTCCATCTTACATCTGCCTGCGTGCAGGATGGAGGTGCAAGATACTTGAGCGTGTAATGTTAATTTTACCTGTGATCCTTTGAATAAATCAGCACTGTTTTGAAGTTACTTGGACTGCCTCGTCTCTCACAGTTAGCAATGGTAAAGACGAACCATATCCTACACACTCAAAAAGAAGCTGCTGTCATATTTCTCATTGCGCACACGATCAGAGCCATCGGATATTATCTAAATAAAAGAAAGTAAAATAAAATAAAACTCAATTTAAATTTTCACAGTGTTAGAAATTAACCAGATTCTTTTGTTGGAAGCACGAGAAGTGAAGACAGGAGAGGACTCTTTAAAATCAACAGAAAGTTTACTGAAAGTCTGATCACAGGTAGGCCTTACAGCGCTGGGATCAGAGAGCCAGAGCTCCCGCAGGAGATCCGACTTCTGTACCCCAAATTAAGGTCTTACATTACATTTTATCTTCTTGGGCTCCTCCGCCCTGGACAGAGGTGCAACCTTCAATAGTTTGTGATCCTATTGGTCATTTGGTGTGAGCCGGAGCTCGCACTTCCATGTTTAAATATGGTAAATCTAGGTATGTGTGTGTGTGGGCGCACAGGCTGTGTGCTGGCAGGAAAAAGAAATACAAGTATGAGAAATTATGACCTATTACAACACAATTGTAAGGTTTTGAATCTGATATTTTTCTTTCATTTTAGAAATGAACTTCCACTGAACTGAAAACTGCTTTGAAAATTAAAAAATGTTTTCCTAACCTTAACAGATCAATGTGTAAGAGAGTGATTTGAGGCCTCTAGCTAGGGGAAACCCACTTCTTTTGCCATTCCCTTAGATATTTTGGGATCTTGACTAGATCCTTGAGTATAGAATATCATGAGCTAGAAAAGTGTTTCCTTCTCACACTATCTAACTGCTTCAAGGTAGCTTACATCTCTCTGCTTAACTATGATAGGACACTTACCCTCCAGTGGGAGGGGCCAGATGCAGGTATTTCTACTAAGACAGACACAACACATGTCTAAGAACAGGAACTGTTAAAAGTGAAGCATTTTTAAAACTCTTAACAGAAGCTGCAGAGTGTGAGAAACAGTGAGAGGAGTGTTTCCAGACAAAGAGTGGGGCACTATGAAGTGGCTGGTGATTTTTGTCTTACTGGGCATATGCTCACAGGTACAGTAATATAAAACATTATTAAAATAGATTTTAAAAAGGTTATTTTATATTTAGGCAAAAACACTTGCTGATAAAAAAGAAATGCAATACAAAAATAACATTCAGAGTAGCTGACTAGTTAGTAGTTACTTGGGTTTTATGTACTCTACAAATTGTTAATAATATTTTCTTACACATTTGCAGGCTGCAACCCAATCAGGTACTGTATGTTTTCCTTTACTATAAATTGTGTTATAGATGTTTTATGACTGTCGTGTATGAGAATGATGGGGCACAGCAATCTTGATTATACATTTATTTGTTAAAAAAATCCATGTTCCAGGTTGATATAACAATCTCCATTTCTTTCATTTTTCTCATCAGCTTTCAAAATAAATGTATTCTCATCAACATCCAAGGCTGTGACTCTCAGATGGACCAGGTACGAGTCAGCCAGCTCATACATGATCACCGTCGCCCCTGCAAGCTCATCAAGCAACACCATCGCTTTTGTCCGGTTTGGTCCAACCACAGTGATGGGCACTGTCAACTCTCTGTCCCCAAACACCAACTATATTTTTACAATTAAAGCTCTGGATGTTTCTGATACATTACTGAGCAGTACAACCACTGAGGGATTAACAGGTGAGGTACACTTCTGTCAACATTTCTACTGTCGCTTAATAAGAGAGTATGCGGTGAACAAGCTGTTTTGTTTTGTTTTATTTTGGGGGGATTTTTAACTATATTTTGGTGTTGTGTATGCTTGAATTTTTCATGCAGTAAAATATTTGCTGCCATATTTAGACACACAAATTTACTGTTAAAATAGCAATCATTCTGAAGAAATAAATATCTTAAGTTAAATTTTATAGCATTCTTAGGTGCCATGTCTGATATGTACCAATTGTGACTATTTTAGGCCCTGACTTGATGGATCCCATCCAGAAAGTAACGCCGAAGGACTGCACAAGCTTTATGGTGGAGTTTAAGTTACAGGATGGGGCAACGAGTTACATTGTACGTGTTGAGGACAACAATGGCTTCTTCAGAGAAGACCCTGTGAACTTCTCCCCGGCTGAGGTTACTTCCCTCACACCGTTCACTGAGTACACACTCAGTATCATGTCTGTGAATGTTGGAGGCCGCAGCCAGCCATCTCTACCAGTGACTGCAAAGACAGGTACTGTTGTTTATCACATTATTTTTATCTGTGAGCAGAATGACAGATTTTGATGTTTTCTGACTTCCACAGCTGGGAAACAAAAGCTCAGAAACATAATTCAATAGAAAAACTCCCACAGGCTGTTTTATACACAGAAATGAGGCATATTTTTGGAAAAACACTGAGCACTTTTCTCATCGCTCCCTATGCCCTGCAGAAGTCACTTGATCTGCCTCATTGTGCCATTATATAAGATATTGTGAGTGAATGCATACATGCATTCACCCACTATATCTCCAGTCAAATCCAGTAACAGTGTAATTCAGGTTTGTGTTACCCAAGAAATGCATCAGCACCCCTCAAGGCCTGTCTTGTATTGTGGTAACTATACCTGACCCATTTATGTGAAGCACACAAAGAGTTGATGTCATTCTGAATACTTACAGTAAAAACATGCACTGACATTGTGGATCTTTGGGTTTCATCCTATATCAGGACCAAACTACCTGTATTTTGGAACATTTTGAATCATATTTGCAAAATAGTAGGAGTGTCTCCCCAAAACAATTCATACGAACAGCACCACACAACGGATTACCTGCAAAAGTGCATCACTTGGTCAAAATCCTTAGTTTATCTCTCAAAAGTAAATACTTAATGTCACTGAACATGTCAGTGACATCAGAATGACAAGTCCTTGTGTCATTGTTTATGAGCATGACAGTCAAAATGCTTAGTCATGTTGTCAAGATAAGAGTATTAAGTATTCTCTGATATCTGCCTCCCTACCATTCCACCACACAGTCCTACTCCTCTTCTCTCTCCTAGTTGATGTTGTTCATCTTCTTGTTTTTCCATTGCCAGAAATTTTAAGTGCATTGTGCTCCGTCTATATATTCTTGCCATGTGAAGTTTCACGAGATGCACCTCTGAGCTATTTTATAGCTGGTTGATCATTGGTTGATCTAGCACTTCAGACATTCCTCTTTGTTAGTGAAAGTCAAGATTCACCCAGAAGCAATTCAACAATTCAGGCATGTTTGCAAAAGAACATCTAATGCAGCTGTATAAAAATATGCCTGACAGATACTAAAAACAACTAGTTCACCAATTTTGCAAGTAACAGCATCTTAAATGAATTAATGACTAGTTGTTTTGGGAGCTCAGACTATTCAACAGAGAACCATATCATATATTTTGATCAACATGACATAAGCAACTGATCATGTAGAAAATAACACACAATTGTACACAATCATTTACATGAATGCGCCAAAGCATTTGCAATTTTATAATAATAATGAAAAATAGTTTATCTGGTGTGACTAGATGATGTTGAACAAGTAGTTTTGAGAATTTCACTTCTGATCTGAGAAATGCTGTAAAACAACTGAGAAAAACTGTATTATCTTTGTTCAGACTCTTCTCCTGTGGTGACAGAATGAGTATTAAGGGCTAGCACATTTTTATTCCTCTACACAGCTCACACATGAAAGACTCATCAAACGTTTCTCTGTTCCACAGTTTTGCCTCCTCCTCAGCTCAACACCTCCTCTCCCACCAGTGACAGTATCATTGTGTCCTGGACCCCCATTGCTCAGGCTGTCCAGTACACAGTAATCTCCATTCACATTTTTGACTCAAATTCTGCCAGAACATACAACACCTCTGGCACCAACCTGACTATCTCTGGCCTGGACTCTGGTGCTCTTTACATTATCAGTTGTTTTGCGTGGGACATCGAGGGCAGAAAGGGAGACAGCAGTTTGTACACCAACCAGACAACAAGTAAGAAGACACTGAGATGTGTGTTTTTGTTACTATTTGGAGATCTGTGTCCATTAGATCACATACAACTTGAGAAAGATACACAATAGCTTCTGTAACTTCTAGTCCATGTGCCTTTATAATAGTAAATTAAAAGTAGTGTTGTATATGAAGAGATACAAACAATTCAGTAAGCTTAATATTTTGCACAAACTCTGTTATATATATGTATCAAAGAACTCTTATTTGTGTGATATGGGGGTTTGGGGTTACAATAAGTGCTGCAGGTGACCTGCAAAAAGCATTTCTGCTCTATCATATTGTATTCTCACATAGTAACCAATCTACCTTCCCTGAAACCTGTTGAAATTAGTTTGCTGTAAATTTATTTAATGTTATTGCCTGAACTAATATTTGAAGGCAAAGGGGTCTTACCTTACCTTACCTTAACAGATGTGTTGTGTATTTACAGTATGTTTTGCCTTTTAACAGGACCTCCAACACCATATATTTACAATGTCACTGTGGTGCAGCGTAACAACGTGTCTGCACTCGATGTGGCCTGGGACACTGTTATGTATTTATCTGAGGTACTCTATGATAACACCCTGTTCCAAGCGATAAGTAACAAGAACCTCACCTGTGAGACCGACTCCGGCTCCTGTAACTTGTCTCCAGTGGAATGTGGAGAAGTGCACGTTATCGAAGTCACTGCCTCAAATGAGGCTGGGCCCAGCTACCCGTCGAGCCCTGTGAACTTTACCACCTGTGAGCAGTAGATACTTTGACAGTAACATATGTTGTCCGTTTTCCTCTGTTGTCAGTCCCCTGCCCACCACAGCCTTTGGCTGTCAAGGAACTAGAAGATGGAAACTGCATGCTGACATGGGACACAGTGCCTTATGCTGACAGTTATGAGGCAATCATTGAGAAAGATGACGGTAGTGAAGAAACCTGCAATACCACCAGCAACAACTGTACCTTCCCCTGCCAGTGTGGTTACACATTCCTGATATCTGTGTTTGCATTCAACCACGCCGGCAGCAGTCCCCAAGGGCCAATTCTCAACTATACCACTTGTAAGTAGCAGCAGATGATTGAAGATTTTGAGTCACTGTGAGACTGTTTTTTTCTTGCTGGTTATGATCACAATACTGTATGTTAATTGCGTTTACCTGCTTATCCCCTGTGTGTTTCAGTGCCCTGTTGTCCAGGTGATGTATCCATCTCTGCGGTGAGCACAGACACTCTGGAGATCATATGGACGGCCTCGCGGGGAGCAGAACTGTATCAGACTCAGGCTGTGGACACTTCAGAGGTTATCCTGTGTAACGACACTGCAACGGTGTGCGCCCTCTCAGACCTCACCTGTGACAACACCTACAGAGTGGTGGTGATACCCTGCAATGAAATCACTGGGTGTAACCGTTTATGCACATCACAGCACACAGCAGACACAGGTAGAAACTACTATTTTAGTATTCATGTATCAAGGAAATATGCAGTTAGATTTTACACACAGCCAAATTTAGTTCCTAGATTTCACATAGAAGTGATATTAAAGTCCTTCTGTCTTTCATCCCCATCAGCTCCTTGCATGCCAGAAAATCTCATCGTCAATCTGAGCAACTCCTCATATATCGGTGTTAGCTGGGCAGCAACTAACAGGGCTGCTACTTACACTGTGACCGCAGTGGGAGATGATGGCAAACACAACTGCACCACCCCTGGAAACAGTTGTGTCCTCACAGACCTTCACTGTGGCTCCAAATATGAAATCAGTGCCATAGCAAGCAGTGCTGCCGGTCAGAGTTTACCCAGCTACTCTGACTTTGTGGAAACTGGTGAGTTGTCCATGGTTGGCATTGATCCATTCAGTTAAAAATACAGACAAGTGACAAGTCATACAGAAAAAAATCAACATGGAATGATTAAAACAATAACTGAGTAATGTGATTTTTGGCTTTTATTTATTTATTTTTGACAGTGTAGCTCAAACATATTATATTATTAGACGAATTCAGGTAGGCCTACATGGTGAAAAATGATATTGATTTGGCAGCTACACAGTGTGTATTGTATCAGTAGTATAAAGCAGGAGAAAACAGTTTGTTGCAGAAAATGGAACAGATAAGAACATTTCTGACTATGTACTTCCGATATAAGCCATGCCCCAGTATAATCCATATGTGACATACACAGATACACCTCTAGCGTCTACATATTGTCTTCTCTTACAGAACCCTGTTGTCCAGAGAATCTAACAGTGCATCAGGCGACTCAGGCAATGACCGACGTCTCGTGGTCTAATGCCATAGGGGCACATTCATTCATCACTTCTCTGAGATCACCTCGTGGTCACGCCAGCTGCCACACCCAGGACTCCCACTGCCTCATGGGATGCATCACCTGTGGAACCAACTACACTGTCACCATGCAGGCATTCAGCCACACTGGGCTGAGTTCCAGCTGCACCTATCAGGGCTTCTCATCCAGTTAGTGATTATGTTTTCCACCTATGGTGAAGAAAGATGGAACTTTATCAAACAACAACTTTTACTATTACTCTTCACACATAGAATGAGACGCCACAAGTAATTTTGTCTACAGTTGAGGACATAATGTGCTCAATGAGTTCTTCTAAACCTTTAAAGATTGGATTAAATACAGTCCAAATAATGCTGCAGTGTTAAAGTGCTGCTTCAGAGGCCTTTGCATGCACCAAAACAAAATAACGTTTGTATTCTAAGAATATACCACTATAACATACACTGACTGGCCACTTTAATAGACACACCTGTACAACTGTATGCACCTTATTGCAACACTTCTGCCTTAACATCTGTGTTTATAAAGCTAAAAATGTTTCAGTTTTTGATGAAATTGTCATAATGTATTATTCAATCATATGTTTATTATTGAGGTCATAGTTAAAGGTGGTGTTGTACTGGACTACATTATATTCAGAGGTGTCTCTATATTTTTGTCCTACCCAGCTATATACATATGCATCTGTGTTTATAAAGCTAAAAATGTTTCAGTTTTTGATGAAATTGTCATAATGTATTATTCAATCATATGTTTATTATTGAGGTCATAGTTAAAGGTGGTGTTGTACTGGACTACATTATATTCAGAGGTGTCTCTATATTTTTGTCCTACCCAGCTATATACATATGTGTGAAGGTCAGAATATTAAGAACACCTCTAAAACTGAAACATTTTGGCATGTTAAGGCAGAAGTTACACAGTGTGTAAAATGGAAATATGCACATTTATGTAATATTTGTACAACCTACTGTTTATTTTTGCTGCACTGCAGTATTCTTCATGCAAAAAGGAAGCAATCACTGACACATGAGTGGCTTAAGAGCTTCTGCTGTAAATGAGAATTTAAAAAATCTACTATGAAAAGCAAAGCCACTTTTATGTGTTACACAAATGTTAGAAGTAATTCAATAAAATGAACATACTGATTCACTTTAATGCTATTTAATTCTTAATATATGTTTTAGTTATAACTCTTTAAATAAACAATGTAACTTTATGTAAATTGTATATATATATATACATAAAAAAGATCAATATATCAATTTTTTAAAAATATCTATACAGACAATATGTAGCTACAAACAGAATAGACAGTAATGTGATAATGTTAAATAATAAAATGTACCATACGAGTAGCACAAGTGGGGAAGAGTCATCAAGTTGGTGAAGAGCAAATCTACCCAAAGTTTGCTAACATTATCTAAAATGAACAGCCATAAGCTAATTACATAAGTCTGTAGTACAAACCCCAGGGTGCATTAAACTGATTAACCTTTTATTGCTTTGGAAATAAACTTTTTTTAACTGTAGGAGGAAATGTTTGAGTACTTCTGCAAAGGCTTCATGATGTAAGATCTAAATAGTTAGCATTCATATTACAGTCATGTTAAGGTATCTTTTTCCATCAGTCATTTAAGTGGTTTCTACAAGTTCCGAGTGAAGTATTACTAAACAAAATCACCCACCAACATTCATTATCTCTTCCAGTAATAAAGCCACAATAGACACATCATCTCATCACTGTCTCTCTCTTGTAGGCCCCTGCTGTCCGTCAGGTGTTGGCCTCTACAGGATGACAGGGAACTCTGTACGGGTATACTGGCGCAGCACTGGCCGCTACAGCTTTGTCGCAGACGTAGTGGGTACCAGCAACAGCTACACCTGCAGTGCATCTCAAGGAACATACAGCTGTGATATTGACAACATCCAGTGTGGGGATGTCTATCATGTAGTGGTGGCCCCGCTCACACCAGAGGGCAGCAAAGTCACGTTCTGTTCCCAGAGACTGTACTCAGGTATGACAGCGGGATCCTAATATCTGGTGGGGTAAAGTAATTTTCTCTGAGGATCTGGACTTCAAAGTTTAACCTTTTAATTCAGTTCAATTTAAATTCAGTTTTATTTGTATAGCACCAAATCACAACTAAAGTCATCTCAGGATACTTTACAAAGGAAGGTCTAAACCTTATTATTATCATTGAGAAAAACCCAACAAATCCCCCTTGAGCAAGCACATGATGGCAGTGGGGAGGAAAAATTCCCTTTATGGGAATAAAACTCTGACAGACCCTGGCTCTTGGTGGAGGGCCTTCTGCCTTGACCCCTTGGGGTGAGTGGATAGAGGAGAGACAAACATTCAAACACTGGGCAGGTTGATGTGGCCAGTGACTGCTCATCAGAAACGGGAGAGAGGAGACACAGTTAGTTATGTGTAATGGTGGCATATAAATGCATGGAGACAAAGGAGAGGAGAGGAACTCAGAGCGTCATGAGGACCCCCAGCATCCTACACTTAGAGCAGCATAACTAATGGAAGGCTCGGGGTCACCTGACTTAGTGAAGTGCTACCTCCTTTCTAGTTTTCGTGATGCTTGCTTTAGGTTGCCTATTTCACTGCCTTCTTTTTCAGAGGGGTAACAGTGTCAAGTGTCATATGTAGGGAGGCTGCAGCACTATCAACAAGATTATCTACCTCTGTGGGAGTAAAGTTAAAGAGGATGCCCTCCATTGTGTTAGCACATGGCACTGAAGTAAATAATGATAGATTGATTTCCTTATCTTTGGTAACAACATTGTCAGATAAACATCTACTGTAGTAGATTTTTTTACCATATGCTGTATAATCCATTACTGTAATTTCAAATGTTATTAGAAAATGGTCAGACAGAAGAGGGTTTTGGAGAAAACTATTAAGTGTTCAGTCCCAATGCCATATGTCATAACAAGATCATAGGTGTGATTAAAACACTGAGTGGGTTTATTTACAGTTTGAGAAAAGCCAATAGAGTCTAATAATGAATTACATTTGAATAAATTGTTAACTAACCCCCTAAATTATGCAGTATGTGAACAAATTTTTCATGGTGTTTTACATTACCAGTGTACAGTTTTAACAATCAAACTGATGCAGCGACTGTATGATTTCACCTTACTTTAATTGGGAATAAAGCAGGGTATTGCAACAAAGTAGTAAGGTAATTTCAGAGTTGTTAGACTTTAACAGAGTAGAAACATGATACAGTTGAAAAAATATTGTTAATATGGATGGCAACATTTTCAGTGAATTTGACATTTTAATTTATTTCTGCTTTTGTAGTGACTTGCTCAGGGACCAGCGTTGGCATGGGTGAGTATGTTGCCAATCTGTTTAAATAATTAATTTGTAAAGCTATTAGGTAATTAAGCTAACATCACTGAAACCACAACGATATCTAGCACTTACAGGTAAAATGTTTAACAAAACATTTTGAATATTGTACGAATCTTGTGATATCACTTCAACTATTCTTCTCTAGTGACTTACAGAGGGAAGAGAAGTGTGGGCTAGCATAAGGTAAGTAAATACATTGCATCTCACTGGTAATGGAAACTGTTGATTTAACAGTGTTTGATCATTTTAGGATTTATTGAGGAAAGAAAACAACAACAATATTGTCTCTTCATTATTTGACTCTTTAGCTATATATTGATGTCCCTCTGGTCTACAATAAAAACAACTTGCATTTAAACACAGGATTGTGCATCAGAACGTAAACTCTGACTAATGGTTTTGCTGTCATAAAGTAATTTGTCAAATTTTAGCTAATGACGTGCATTAAATGTAAAATTATGCGACTGAACCTTTGACGTCTTGTCTCTACAGCCTCGTCTCCAGTGATACTACACACACTCTTCTTCATCCTTCAACATCCCTACTTATCTAGACAAAGCCAGTCTGAAAGCAAAACTATCCATGAAGAAAAAACATCTGTTGGCCATGATATAAAATTATGATCAATTACTATACGTAAATGTCCCTTTAAATGAGATTTTGGGAATCATTGCAAAGCAAAACCATGACTGTGATCAAACTCTTACATAAATATGAGAACAAAGTCTGCTGAACTACAGGAGTGCGTTTTGTGTGTGTTGCTCAAAATATGTATCATGAGACAAAATCATGTTATAAATTTGTTATAATAAATAACGTTGATAAAAATGTTGATTCATAAAAGACAGAAAGTACATCTAAATGCATATTTATATGCCTGAGATATTTGTTACAAAAAAACCAAAACAAAACTACAGATTAATAATCTAATAAAAATCTTTTTGAAGAACAGTCCCAACATACATTTTAAACAATTGATGAAATATTATACCCCTTTATTTTAAGAAATCTTAATTGAACAACTACATTTCATTGCTGCAACCCCAAGTAGGAAGCCTCCTGGTGATAAGTGGCAGATGCTAGTCTGTGTTACTCTGTACCCTACGGTGTGATGTTGCTTGCTCTCAGGAGAAATTGAAATATGTGTCAGTGTAAACCTGATATATATTTCAATTAATAAAGAATTCTCAGCATCAAGTTTGTGTTTTGTGGTTTCTTTAAATTAATATGTACTTTACAAAATAAAAGGAGAAATAATGGTTCAATTTGAGCCATTATTCAGAATGCTAATCCATTAAAATCTTGTTTATTGCAGTGATGGAAGAAGTACTCTGATTTTTTACTTAAGTAAAAGTAGCAAAACCACTGTGTAAAAATACTGTTACAAGTCCTGCATTCAAGATGTACTTAAGTAAAAGTACATTTAACATAAAAAAAATACTTAAAGTACCAAAAGTAAAAGTACTCATTCTGCAGATTAGCATATTTCACATTGATGCATATTATATTATTTAATTATAATGACTGGTGCATTATTGTATAAATTACATTTAACTACCTTATATGCGTATAATTTGAAGTAGTAATAGGTAGATTTCCATTCAAATGCATGTCTGGTGTGTTTTAACAGTCAGGAAATTTGTTATAGGTAGGCAATATGTGTAAATATAACTCTATTATATGTTCCCCCTTAGTAGATCAACAAACCTATTAAAGTTTCTTAATTTAGATAATGATGTAGATAAAACAAATTCAAATTGTGGGATTACACTTATTTGGTGACAATATATGTACAGTATATAGTTGAATGTCATCAGCATATTATTTGGCTTTGAAGATAAATACTGTTTGCAGCCTCATCCTTCTTGCCATGCTTTATTGTGGAAAGCAATGTTGCACCACTGCTGTAAAGAAATGTACTGAAAAACAATCAAGTCCATGTTTTCATTCTATACATGAACTGATATTGGAGCTCAGGCTGCTGTTTCCTGGAGTCACCAAAGCTCATGTGCATGACTTTTTTGAAACACTTCCTTTTCAGTGAGCTAATTGCTCTTCAGACAGTGATAGCATGAGTGGGTAACTTTGTGCAATTTACTTTTAAGTCACACCCAGCTACCAGCATCATGGGGCACCAGTCCCACACATGTGCCACCATGCTCCTCGTTCACAACACATTTCAGCTGACTTAAGTCCTTCTAAACACAAAAGGGGTAGTTTTGATTCTATCCCTAGTGCACTGTGAACAGTATAAGTTATCACTAATGATACTGTGGTGGCTCCCAGCAGGGAAGAGTTGCCATTTATAGCTACTGTAAATGGAGGAACATACTGTAACTCAAAGTCGGCCCATTTCAAATAAATGAAATGGGCCGACCTTTAAGATCTTCTCACTGTAATGTCCAGTTGTTTAGGAGCTTACATAACATTGACTGTAATAAAAACTATTAAGTCAGACTGTTTGAACTACATTTCTTGCCTTAAAGTAGTTACCTTCCTGTATAGTGTCTTTACATTACATGCACACAGTTGGGTACAAAAATGTGCAACCCCTTACTTTGAAATGGCAAAAAGAGTATAACAAAGATTTTTTTCTCATCAACATAATATTCGATGCACATTCAGCTAATACAAATATTCCTTCATCAACAGAACTAATACAAATGGTCAGGGAGAGTATAAACAAAGTTATAGAAAAATAATGAAAAACATATCAGCTGTGGGTAGTGACTGAAAGAGTAAGATTGAGAATACAAGTGGCAAATATGAGTTTCCTTCATAGGGTGGCCGGACTCACCCCTAGAGATAAAGTGTGGCACTTGGACATCCGGAAGGGACTTGGAGTAGAAGTGCTGCTCCTTCACATCTAAAGGAGCCAGTTGAGGTGGTTTGCTCATCTTATCAGGATGCCTCCAGGGCGCCTCCCTTTGGAGATCTTCCAGGCATGCCCAGGGTCCAGGAGACCCAGGGGCAGACCCAGAACATGCTGGAGAAAACACAACAAAAGTTTAATTATTTTGTCATAATCAGCACAGGTATGTGTGGAGAGAAAGGAACTCTGCCTATGAGGAGAGGAACACCATGCCCACCGTCAAACATGGTGGAGGCTCACTGATGTTTTGGGGGTGTGCATCTGCATGAGGCACTGGAGCTCTGCATAAAGTGGAAGGAGAAGATTTTAAAGTAAAGCCTCCTACCATCAGTCAAAAAGCTAAAAATGAAGGGCAGTGGATCCTTCAACAAGACAATGATCCAAAGAATGGAGTAACATCAACTCAGGAATGGTTTAAATAGAATAAAATGAACATTTTACATGGCCTTCCCAGTCCCCAAACCTAAATATCATTGAAAACCTGTGGATTGGTTTGAAGAAGGCTGTACACAGCAGACAGCCAAGCAATATGGCAGTCTTTGAACAGGTATGCCATGAAGAATGGGCTCACATTACACCTGAAAGGATACAAACACTACTCAAAGGGTACCCAAAGAGGTTGGAGGAGGCTAGGGAGGACATACAAAGTATTAGAGAACATTTCATAAAGGGGGATAGAAACCTTTACACTATGTTTTTCATAATTTTGCTATAACTTTCTATTTAAGGGGATTCAAACATTTGCACTCAACTGTACATTTATGAAAGTAAGTTCTTTTTTTTCTTTTGGTGCTTTTGACATGTGCCCTATCAGTTTAGTGAGGGTATCTGACTTGATCATCATGGCAAGCTATGAAAAATGTTTTGTCAATGTAATGACTAACCTGATCAGATACCGCTCACTTTAAAGATTAAATTTTTTCTGGTGTGAAAACATTGATGTAGTTCCTGTGATTATAATTTAGAAAAAGTGAATCTTTGTCAAACATTTTCATCTCAAAGAATGGCTAAAGGCAGGGCTTGGATTTTATTGACAGCTGGGAAGGCCTCTGCAGGTAATGTATTTAATTTTGTGTTCATGGTCTCAGGAAGAAATTCTGGCAACAAATGCAAATATATTGATAATAATGTAAATTCTGTGTCTTTTGCTTTTGCATAGGTTGTTGGTCAGTGCAGCTTAAATGACTCAAGAAATTTGTGGGAAGTTGTTTAATACCTGTGACCTGTAACAATGTCTACTTCAAGACAATGTCACAAATACGTAAAAATACAATGAAATATCAAAGAGTTCACATCACTTGTCCTTTTTCTCCATGCTTCAAAACTGTTCTATTGTTTAAGCCGGGCAGCTTAAGTTTTCTCGCAGGATTTATGGCCCAGATCCACTTTCATGTTGACTTCCTCTTGTCTAATACATGATGAGAAAGAAGGTGATATCCCTTTATTCTCCTGTGATATAAGATCTGTTTGAGGCCGTTTACACAAAGCTAGGGAGTCTATTTAAGAGGCTTTATTTTTCATCAAAATCCAAATACCAAACACCAGCCTTCAAAAACTAACAGTTTAAGAAAGAACCAACTCATTAACAATTTCAAACATGATGTGTTTTCTACAGTATGTATAACCCATTTAGATGAAGTCCCATTTTTAAGGTTGCATTTCTTGACTTTGGTTTCACAGTCACTTGCTCCTCCTCTGCCTTTATCTCATCTGGTTCAGGTCATTTACTGTTATTTCATGTATTGTTACAGGGATGAAAAGAGAAAAAAAAAACAGTTAACCCAGAAACATGTCTACGTGTGAAGTTGCAGCAGGCCTTCATATTTGTCATATTTCCAGTTACTCATATGGGGAAGGATGGGAAGACAAGCAAACTAAAAGTGGAGAAATAAACAATTACAAAGATTGATTACAAAGAAAATATAGGAGAAATAAACAATTACAAAGATTGATCAGTGTTGGTCAGTGTTGGTCAGGCATGTGAGATCAGTCTGAACTCAATCAGTGATGTTTAAAGTGGATCATCAGGTACCTTTTCCCTTAAGTCCCTTGTTTTTGTTGCCACAGTTACAATTACTGATCAGTAAAGCTCCTCAAGGTACAGTTCATAGTTCACAGAATGTAATAAAATATATCACATTTAACTTTCTTAAAGCTTTTCTATATTTTCTGAGGATTAAAAACTCAAGTTATTCTATCTATGTTCTATCGCACATGTCTCACCGAAGTGCACTCAGAGCCCTTTACACTATTTGCCTATTCACCCACACAATTTTTCACACAGTCACACACCGATAAAACCACCAGACGCAACTTGGGGACAACCCATTCTCCTACTGAGCCATTGCATCCTGAAAGTGGTAACCAATCCTTTTGCCACAAATTGGGTTTGCGCATTTGATTAAGATGATTAGATACAGAAATAATCTATAAGCAATGCTTTTACACCAAATAAAATATATCATCTTTCCAATCTTATATGAAAATGTTATTTTATATTACATTCATTTTGTTTGCCAAAAAGTTAGTCACAGACAAATAAATGTACAGTGTCATATAAAGTGATGTTACTTATGTTTGGGGTCATGTTAAACCCAAAAGTATGGTGGCCCTGAGAGTTCAAGCACCACAACTTAAGAAAACAGATAAAATATAAAAAACATAGCCAAAGTCATAACATCTTTGTAAATTTGACAGCACACAAGCAGCATTCAGGAAAACCAACAAGCATGCCCCTGGGTACATTCAAAGCCTCTTACTTTAAGCATCCATGTTTTCCTCACTTGCATCTTTTCCTTGCATCTTAGTCCTTCCCAAGGTGTGAGGAAAAAATGCAAGGAAAACTTGCAAGGAGAGAGGGAACACGTTAATATCAACATGAGATGTCCTA